CCTGGGGGATGCCAGGGCATTGGGTTTTTCATCCCATGGTCTTCACTTGGACTGTGGCAGGCTCTCCATTCCTAGCAGTTATTCAGTATGTTACAAGTCAAAATATGCGTTCTCATCCGTGTCAGTCACGGTACGGTAGGTACTGCCAGGGGCATTCAGGCTCTCTTAAAGGGGTAGAAACTGAGGGATGTCAAACTGTAGCCTGGGGTTTTGTTGGCCCCCCTGCCCAGAACTTTCATTAACCACCCAAATAAGCATAAATCTAGGTAAAAGCAGCAGGCTTGCTGTGCAGACACAACCTTAACACACGGCTCTTAGCCTCTCCACTTTCCCCTGCTCCCCACCCCATGGCTTGTCCCACAGTCTCCTGTTGGAAATGTTGGCACTGTCTCTTCTCCCAGAGCACTGGCCCAGAACCGGGGTGTGGAGTCCCTGTTGCTGGCTGCGAGCAAGAGAGAGGTGGCCAGTCTGGCTGAGAGGTTAGCCTTAGAGACTGTAAAAGGCCCCGCCCCGGGAGCTGCTGTCAGTGGTCATGATTCTTCCTACCGTCAGAGGAGGGCCTGGAGCTTTGACTCCCATTTTCCCATGTTTGCTCTTCTGGCTAAACCTTAGGGTCATTTTGATAAGTTCCAAAAGATTATCATGTTGGGCTTTTGGTTGTGATTGCATTGAACTTAGAAATAAATTTAATTTAGAGGACTGATAACTTCATACAAAACAGAATTTTCCGTCCATTATGGCTGAAATTATACCACATCTTGGGGACTCTGTTTTAATGCATGCTCAGCCTTGTGCGTATGTATCTGTATGGAACAGTGCAGAATCTTTGACTTATTTCAGTTCTCTTTGTGCCCTGTATTTCAAAATAAGTTGCAGACATCTTTACATTTCACCCCTAACATGTCCGCATGCGTATCACAAACCAGAGTTCAGTGTTTGCTTTTGTGTTTGTTTTTTTTAGGTAGATAATTTTTTAATCCGTTAAGGGGAAAGCTTCAGGAAGCCTTTCCTTTGCTTCAAAGAACACAGTATGTGAGAGTGAAGTAGAATGATAGAACCAAATGAGATACGATCCGGAGTCACACAACCTGGTTTGAATCCTAGTGGTGGTACCTTGGGCAGGTCCTTTCACCCCTCCTCTGCGCCAGCGTTTTCACCTCTAAGAAGGGGCTGCAGTTGTTTTGGGGCTTACAGAACATACAAAGCAACCAGCACAGAGTAGGTGTTCAGCAAATCTTAGATCACTCCTCCAACTACTCTGGGGCTTGTGGGTGGCCCCTGGGAAGCAACTGACATCTCTGAGATGGTCTGTCCCCATCAGAGCACTCTGCTATCTGGCCCTGAAGCAGTACAAGGAAGCAGTGAAGGACTGCACAGATGCCCTCAAGCTGGATGGAAAGAATGTGAAGGCATTTTACAGACGGGCTCAAGCTTACAAGGCACTCAAGGTAAAAAGATCCTGAGAAAAGGCACCAATGTAGCTACAGATCGTATGCCTGTGGTGGCATTTCTGAAGGATAGTCAAAGTGAGGGGTATCCACCACTTCTTTCTATAAGGGGCCCCAGAGTAGCTCAGGCAAGGCCTGCAGACTGGGGTTTGAGACCCCTGTGCTGTCTCAGCAGCTGTCCCCACCCCATCTTGATCCCACAAGCTTCTCCTCTCTTCCGTTAGGACTATAAATCCAGCCTTGCAGACATCAGCAGCCTCCTGCAAATTGAGCCCAAGAACGGCCCTGCACAGAAGTTGCAGCAGGAAGTTAACCAGAGCTTAAAATAAAACCCCAGAAGGGCAGCAGGAAATCTCTGCCTGACCTTACCCAGAGAAGCCAGGGGCCTCCTTCCTGTATGCCTGCTCCTGGACCCAGCATGCCCCAGAGCAAGCTCTGAACACCCTCTCCTCCCCTCTAAGAGGCCACAGCCTCCTTACCCCTTCTCCCCGCTAAGAGGCTTTGCTTATTCAAATTAAGTGCAGTGTAGTTTTGCTGGAAAAGGTCCCTACTAGAGCTGATAGATGAGGTCCATGTTCTGTCGCCCACTCCCTACCTCAGACAGCTAGCAGGTTACACAAACAGGTCTCATTAGCAAAGCCCCGGCTTTATCCCTGCCCCAAGCATGCTCCAGCTGAGTGCACCTTTGTAGCTTCGCCAGACCTCGCCTCACTGTGATTAATCGCTTCATCAGAGCAGCACTGAGCTCCCGGGCAGGAGTACAGGTTAGAGGCGAGGGATGTGCTAGAAAACCCTGGCCCACCACTTCCCAAGCAGCCGGTTGAGCTGGTTCTCCAGGGCTGCCCTCCCCACCCTGCCCTTGGCAGTCTCCTGTGTTCTGAGCCCCAGTGCCTTTTGTCTGGGCCCTCATTTGATGGGTATGCAGAGCCCTGACCCTTGATGGTTTTGTTTTTGACCTTCTCTGTGCTGCTGCCTCCTGCGTGGAGGTGCCTGTTTCCAGAGTCCATGGTTGTGGCTGCTCCCCCGGGAGGTGGGAGGGGAAGGAGGGCCTCCCTGAGGTCAGTGCCCTTCCGCTCTGGGCAGGGCCTTGCCCCCTCCAGGCCTCCTAGTTCTTTGTAATATGTTGATGTTATTTTGAACTGAACTGACTCTGATTTTGTTGAACTGTGTGTTTAAGCTATTGCATTAAAAGTCTTTCTTCCACATAAATGTCCGTTGTACTTTCATTTGTGCTTTTCTCAGCTCTGTGCCTGGAACTTTGTAGTAAAAATAACGAAAGCTACTGCTTTTGAGCATTTATCTGTTCGTTAAACAAATTTACTGAAATGTCTGCATGGGCCGGTCACTATGTATAGTGCTGGGGAGACAAGCGTGAATGAGTAGACCTGGTCCCTGCTCTCAGGGAGCTGACAGTCCGATGCTGAGGCAGGAAATCAATCAGATAATCACACAAACAAAGGTAAAACTGCAGAACTGCGGTGGCTTAAGCATTTTGGAGGAGTCAACGCTTTACCTGCCTGTGTGGGAGATTTGACCCAGTCGAAGGAGAAAGGGTCCCTGAGGAAGTGATGCTTGAGTTCTAAAGGATAAGCAGGAGTGCACTTGGCTGGAGGGCGGGGGGCATTCCAAGCAGATAGAACTCGGGAAGGCCCTGGTCGGCAGAGCAGGATGAGTATGAGGGACCAAAAGGCGGCCAAGTGCAGCTCAAGGAGACAAAGTATCGTATGGGGTGAGGCTCGAGAGTGTTTACAATCTGGCCACAATTAAGGGCTGCCTGCCCTTCCTGGGCTGTGTCCTTTTAAAGTGGATGGAGTTCTTACTGTCCCTTGGCTCCCTGTCACATAGTGCTAAGCAACCTTCAGCTGTTAACCACCCTGCTCCCAACCTCTCTGAGGATGAGTCTTGCTGTCCGAGTAATCAGACCTCCAAGCTGAAGTGGGTTTGAGTCCAGAGACAAACTCCATGGGTATGCCCAAGGGACCACGGCAGTCAGAGCTGTTCCCCTTTTAGTAATAGGCAGGAGGACCACTGTGACGTGCAGCCATGGCTCTCACCTGATTGGAGGCAGGGTTAAGTGGGGGATATCCGGGCACGGTCAACTTACCTCGGCTTCTCGGGCCCAAGAAGACAAGTAGCTTGATTTACTAATGAAAACAAGTGAGCCAGCACCACCTTGAAGAGGCTTTTTGTTAACTTTTAAAATTTCAAAAGAAACACAAATAGTGTACCAAGCTTCCCTGTACCCATCACCCATCTTTGAAACTTAGTACAGTTGTGTCATTTCCAGAGGCTTTGAGCAAGCCATTTTATGAGTGTTAAAATTTCTCCTTCCTCATAGGTTACCATGTCTAGGAAAGGGGCACCAGATACTGATGTAACTGTCTTCATGGTCATGACTGAATTCCATTTCCTCTCAAAGGAAGGTAAAAAGTCATACGCTAATGACAGGGACCCGTGTTGGGACCAGATCACGCAGGGTCTGGTAAGCCGTGTAAGTCTTGTCCTTACTCTCGTGATAATGGGAAGCTTCTGGGGGATTTATAAAAGGGTGAGACATCAGATTTACATTTTGAGGAAAGCATTTTGACTGCAGTGGGAGGACAGACTGGAAGCAAGCCAGAGTAGATGCAGTTAAACCAGTGTCCAGCTGAGCTCTGACTAGGAAGGAAGCAGAACGATTTGAGAGCAGGAGGTAAAACTGTGAGGGATTTCACAAGGGAGAGGAGAGGGAAAGTGAAGTGGGGTTAGGGGTGGGGCTCAGGTTTTGACTTAGAGGGATAGGCTACTTACTGAGACAGGGACAACGGAAGACCAGAGAAACTGCGGCGGGGGAGGACACTCAAATCATGAGCTTGGTTTTAGACAGGAGTTTGAAATGTTGAGCTAACCAAGAGGCAGTGATGGGTAGGCAGTGCGATACAGGGGCCTGGAGCTCAGAAGAATGGGCTGAAAAAAATGCGCAAGTCATCCGGGAACAGGTGCCAATTGAAGATGGGGTGGTGAATTAGCCTAGGAAGAGCACATGGAGAGAGGGAGGGCCCAGGATCAAGCCTGAAGAAACGTCAGCTTTCAGCATTTGGGGGGAAGATGAGTCTGCAGAGGGGACAGGTTAAAAGCAGCAGGGAGCTAAGTGACCATGGGATGAAGTTTGAGTGGCAAAGAGTCTGAAATAATACTTGTGGAGAATGGGAAGCATGGGTAGTAGAGGTGGGATGGCAGAGCAACCTTGAGGGCTTAGTTGAATTTTGTGGATGGTGACTTCTTAGCAGGACCAGTCTGCTGGGTTGTGGTTTTCTCCACTGTCACTTGGCTGCTCAGGTGCAGGGGAGGGTGGAGAGCTGGGACATAGACCCTGATGTGAAGTGAGCACCAACTCACCTGAAGAACCTATTTGAGAGCCTCCCCCATTCCCTGTAGGGGAGGAAAACCATGACCTGGGAAGGTATTCTAAAGCATTTCTAGAAGGTTCCTCTTTAATTACATTCATTACACAACTCCTAAGCTGGGGGCCTAGAAGCTACTGCTTGATTCCAGGGTGTTTACCTGCACTGCAGGGTGCTGCCTGGAGTCTAGAACCCCATGCCCAGCAATCTGGGCGCCTGTAGCTTTCACTCATTTTCTCGATGCAGTGTTGAGTTCACTGTATGATGATGTTCATTTACTCACCCACTGCACTGTTGAGAGCGGGCAGTTTCTAGCCTGGGGCTTTTACAGAGTCCTGCTCAGTTCCTGATCTAGTGTACATACCTTCGTTTATACTTGAGCTCATCTGGGTTTCTGTTCCTTACAGCTAAAGCACCAAGCCAGTCAAATGTACTCTTTGCTCTGCCCCACCCACCTCAGACACAAGGCCTCCAGGGAGATGAGACAGATTTTGCAACACTTTTAATACACAAAGCAAAGATAACAGCATGGCTGAGTGACAAGCTTTCAGTCCACACACACAGCTCAAGTACAGATACAGCCAAACTGGGAAACAAGTCACAGTTCACAGCCCCCATAGCCAACAGCAGGAGACACTGTTCTCTTGCCAGCCATGGGAATGAGGATTCCATTTTCTGGAGAACAAATGGTAAAAATAAACATTTCAAAAATATAGTAGATACCCAGTCTTCAATTGTAGACTAGCCCAGGGAAACTCCAGCTCATTCTGAAGGAGGCCAGGCAGGACAGTTGGCAACAGGGCACCTCCCTCCCCTCTGCACTCTAACAAAGCCATCCCAAGTGCACAGTGCCATCTCCTTTGATGCTCACACTTCCTCCAAACGCCTCTCGGTGCCTCAGGGAAAGTCAGGGACATGATACGGTGCTTGGTGAACTTGTGAAAATCATCCGTGCCTGGTTCTCTGTGCCCGGCTGCTTCTGTCACCCCACCCACCTGGCTTCAGTGCAGGTCCGCTCTTGGCTGCTCCATGGCCTGGTGTGCCTGCAGCACTGCCACTGCCTCTTCTATCTGTGGGGCAGAGGGGCTTTGTGCAGCTGCCCAGTGGGGTCCCAGGAGAGCCTGGTCCCTGTCCCACCCCCACCCACCACGCTAGATACAAGGACTCCCCTCCCTCCATGGCATTTCTGCAGAACCATCAGCCAACTACGACTTGCAAGTTCCAGTGACAGAAATCCACTGTCACATTCTCAAGACAGACATACATTTCTGTACAGCTAGAAGAAACTTAACCCTTACACTGGGTCAGAACACAGTTTCCTGCACCCAAACCTTGGAGTGAAACAATCCAACTGCTAAAGGGCTGAAGTAGCAGAGCCTTAATTAAGGGCCTCTCCCAAGCCAAGATTCAGCAGATGGTCCAGTATTAGCAAGAAGATAAACTTCACCTGGCCAAGCAGCAGCACATGAGCTCATCTCAAGATGCTAGCTCTCCTCCTGCCCACTCACACTCGTAACTCCCCGCTGCCCAGGCTCCAGCCTACCTTGGCATGGAGAGACTCTGGAGACTCCAGCATGAGCAGCAGCTCCGAGTTGTCAATCTCCAGCAGCATGCCGGTGATCTTGCCGGCCAGCTGGGCGTGGACACCGTAGATAAGGGGGTAGAGCCGCTCACCTGTTCAGAACAAACTCTGAGGGCTTTCGCACACACCTGGGATGGCTGATACCCTGGCATCCCAGGGTGGTATCGTGGAGTGCAGCAGTGAGGACATCTGGGTTCTTGTCCCAGAACTGCTCTTTCAAGCCTGTGTCACCTACCCTTATTGGGGGCCTCTTTCCCAACCGTAAGTAAAGTGGGCAGAGGAAACCCACGTTAGAGAACAGTCTAAACAATCGATTTTGGGGAAAAAAAAAAAAAGAACTGACTTTGATACCATATGTGAAATAATATGCATAAGATCGGACACAAAGTTGGTTTCTCCATCAGGACAGAGTCACCTTCCACCATCAAGGATTTCTAGTGGCAGGGCATGATGCTGGTGGTCAGCCCACCTCAGCAACGTATGGTGGTGGCCCTAGCCAGGACAGGGTGTCTTAGGTGGGATAGGAATGGTCTTCCCATGACAAAAGTAGTTTATGGAGAGCTTTTATCAAAGTCTTAACCTCCATTAAGCCCACTTAGAAATTTTCTTTGGTGAGGGCAAGAGGAGGGGCCAGGGGGCCAGAAAAGCGGCAAAACCTGAGTGAGCTGAGACAAGGGGGTGGCAGCCATGGGAGCGTTCAGGGAAGGGCCCGGAGAGCGTGGTGGCCATAGGGAAAATGATCTGCCAATCAGTAACAAGCCTGCTCATTCATTCAGCAGTTAGTGGCATCCTTACCCAGGACCTGTCCTAGACACTGGGGACAGAGATGGCGCGATAAGTTCAGAGTCCAGTGGGAAACATTTGTTCACCCAGCACACACTTATTTCCCACCTCCCTGCAGTGGGCACTGGGAGATGCATGAAATTTGGTAACAGCTTCCTCCCATTCAGGACAGGTGCCTGGAGCTGCCAATACCCACCTCATGGGCCATTTTCCAGCAGAAATCCAAGACCATACCCTCACTTCTCCTTTTGGTCCCCAATCTCCCCACATCCGGGGTCTCTCCCAGAGTAAGGCCAAGTCCAAGAAGACTAGAGCTAGGAGGAACCCTGGGACCACTGGTCTGACTAGTGTTTTAAGAGAACAGGGAAGGGGGGGAGTCACTGTTTAGGGAACACGGAGTTTCTGTACACAGTGATGGAAAATTTGGCAATGGATATCAGCGATGGCTGCACATGAGTAATGTACACGTGAAAAACGTTTAATTGGCAAATGTTATATTTTTACAACAACTAAAAAATAGGGACAAAGGGTCTAGCACATTAGAGGTGACCTGTGCAAGGTCACTCAGCAGGTTGGTCAGCGGCAAAGCTGGACCGTGTCCTCACACCTCCTGGCCTCCACTCGGAGTTTCCCAGTGGACTAGCCACCTCCCAGCCCTCCTCTTGCCGCTCTGGAAGAGCACCAGCCACTCACCAATCATCTGCTTTTGCTCGTGTGGCAGGGCTGCAGCCAGCATGGATGCGGTCAGGGGCTCTTGTCTATGCAGAGGTGACTCCAGGACCTGCACACGGGGCCAGGGACACAGTCCTCAACCACTAAGGACAGGCAAGGCCTTAAAGCACTTACCCTCCCTAGTGAGCACAAGGTTTCCAGGTAGGCTCCCTGAAGGAGGGGAGCAAGGAGCAAGGGCTGGAAGAGCAGATAGGGTAGAGAGTCCCTAAGAAGGGCACAGTGGAACAGGAGACAAAGTGAAGATATGATGTACAAGTTGTTCATGGCGCTATGAATATTACCAAATGAAAGCCACACTCTACCATAGTCACTTCGTGCCAAATAAAGCAGTTTTTATCCAGTAGCTTTATGGCCACATCCCTGTATACTTCTGACCCCTTCACATCTTGGTAACTTCAAAAGGGTTTTGCTGTTTAAAGACTACTTCTTGCAACCAGGCTTACTGGATCCATCCACACTGGGGAAACCTCTGATCTAATGCCTGGAAATAATCTTTAAACCTTGAACTGAAACTATTCCATGAAGCCATTGTTTAAACTAAACAACAGTTCTAGCTCAATCAATAAAGAATGTTTGCCTTCAATCAATAAAGAATGTTTGCCTTTAGCATTGTGCTCTTATAAAGAACTATCTATGAGTTTAAGCTGACAACAGTTAAAAGCACAGATGCGTACTTTAAAAGGGGCAGAGTCTGAATTAACAGTGATGAAACAGTATGGGTAGAGATAGAGAAAATGGTGGCACAATGTTAAGTACGCAACCAACGTCATTCAACAGTTCATGCAGAAATTGTGAATGCATATATGGTTGTGTATATTGCCATCAAAAAAAAAAAAAAGACTGCTTCTTGCTAATACTGTGAGAAATAGTTTGAAGTTTACGCACTGAGATTCTAGACAGGACATAATAATGCTGAACTTGAGACTCTTCGGGGAGGGCGGGGGAGGATATGTGACAAAATATCCCAGCCTTTTTATTTAATTGCAGTAGGTATTTTCAGCTGTTTTGTGGATTAATCGCATCCGTTTACCGCTCAGCAGATTCTCAGAATACCTTTCCTTGCTGCTAAACACATAAATATTAAGGAAACCCAAATAAATTCTGGCAATAGCCCAGGCAAAGCAAATTAGTCAACGAAATGTGATCCAGGCCCCTTTCCCCTCCTGTTTGGGTGGTTGACTGATGGTGCACGTTAATAAAAAAAACATCGTAAGCCAAGAAAAGAAAGATGGAAAGCCAAGGCCCAGGGAGGGTCAACACCTTAGTTCGGAGGCAGTCTCCCCGCCCCCCGCCCAGGGCCCAGGCTGCCAGGGCAGCTGAGCCACCCTTACCCGGTGAGTGTTGTGTGCAGCTGAGGAGTATCTGCATGGCAGGAGGGGCCGGCCTGACGTACAGCCTTCTGCCCCACCAGGTCCTGTGGTCTGGGTGCCAATGTTGGCTGTAAGAAACAAGCACAACCACTTCAGGATGTGGCAGCGACCGAGGGCCAGGGACTGGGTCTGGCTTGGTCATGCAGAATCCCCAGCACCGAGCATAGGACTGGCACGTAGTAGATGTGCAAAATAGCTGCCATATGAAGGAAGGGATGCATTTTTGCCTCACAGCCAAAAGCTACACCCTTGTTCACAGCCACTGCAGTATTTACTAAGGTCCAGGTCCTGTGAGAAGCCCTTGCCTGTGTGATCTTGTCAGTCCTCACAACAAAACAGGAGTACAATTTTTATCTCAATTTTGAAGATAAGGCAATCAGACACTGTAGTCAGCAAGGCCGCAGAGTGAGTTAGCCCCCAGAAACGAGTCTTCTGCTAAACTACTCACTATGCAACATGGCCTCCAAAGAGGGCATATAACAAGGTCGCCACAGGGCCAACTCCATCACCCCTCCAGTGCCAACCCCAGCGAGGACCTCCTCACTTCCCCATCCCTCTTGGCCCACCCACACTCACCCACTCTTTGAGTGTGGGGCACCGGGTGTGGCACCTGGGTGGAGGCCTGCCTGACAGTGCTGAGGTGAGCCAGGGGGCGCCGAGGCGTGGCTGGTGGCCGAACCATTGAGGCAGTTGGAGGGTAGGCAGCTTGTGGTGGGGAGAATATAGAGAGTGTGAGGTGGGGGCAGAATAATCAGAGTGACACTCTGCTCCCTGAAGGATCTGGGGCATGGAAGGGGAACTAGAAAGTTCACAGCACAAGGATGAGAGAATTCACCTAGTCAGGCAAACTTGGAACTCTAGGGATAGGGGTATGGAAAGCTGTGATTACAAAGCCCACTCGTGTCTACCCAGAGCCCCGAGGTACACAGCCCCATGATCATACACCCAGTCCTCCAAGATGGCGTGTGAACTGCACTCTCACAGAGAAGGGCTGTTCATCAGCAGTAGTGCCAAAGGAGTTTGTTTCTCAGCTCTGTAGGAATTTTCAGAGTCACAAATCAGACAAGTCTTGGGCTATAGCTGATGCTACACTGTGTGTCTCCTGAAGGCCCAGCACCAGGCTTGGTGCTTTACACACATTTCCTTCAGGCCCATATTACAGAAGAACCAACAGAGAGGTGAAGGTACCTGCCCGAATTCACATCCTAGCAAGTGGCAGCGTTAGATTTGACCCCCAAGCCTGTGTTCTTAAATGCTATGTTACACCCTGCCCCGCAGGCCCACACCGAAGTGCTGATGGTGAAAGGGGCTGGTCACTCACATGATGGTCTAGGTGGCTGGGCTGTCCACCTAGGGGCAGGCCGGATGGGGGCCACAGGGCCAGAGCCATAGTATGCAGGCCGGGCTGGAGGCTGTGTGGGAGAAGAGGACCTAGTGAGCAGGTCTGCTGCGGGGTAGGGGAGAAACTGCACCCTCTTGGGGACACCACAGCAGGAACTCCACTGTCCCCTCCAGGGGCCTGGTTAGTAAAGACCCGCAAAGCTGGGACAAAGGCTCGTTCCTCCCATCTCAGAATGGCCATTAGCTGTGACTCATTCAGGGCAAGATCTCAGATTTCATCAGAGCCAGCCTACTGAACCGGACACACTGTAAAAGGTGACCCACCTTACTCCAACTTGTCCCAGCTTGGACAACTGCTAAAAGGAGAGGGAACGTGCCCATCCTAGCAGCCTTTAATGGCTTACATCATCCTACTTCTACTAGGTTGTGTGAATTCCTTTCCCAAACCAGGCTCCTCAGAACATTAACATCCAAGAGAGATGGTAACAAGCATCCCACAAAAGGTGACCATCTAAGTTGGGAAGTGCTACATACTCTATGACTGTTTTGGAGAGTCATAATACATACTGGCATATTTGGGTACAGTAAGGTATAACACGGAGCCCTGGTGGCGCAGTGGTTAAGAGCTCAGCTGCTAACCAAAAGGTCACCAGTTTGAATCCACCAGCTGCTCCTTGGAAACTCTACGGAGCAGTTCTACTCTGCCCTGCAAGGTTGCTATGAGTCAGAATCAACTTGACAGCAACAAGCTTGGTTTTTTGTTTTGGGTTAAAGTATAAGAAAGTCAAAAGAAAGGCCTGGTGATCTACTTCGAAAAAAATCGGCCACTGAAAACCCTATGGAGCACAGTTCTACTTTGACATGGGGTCATCATGAGTCAGACTTGACTCAATAGCACTGTTTTTTTTTTCCAAATGTGTGATAGGGAGCAGTGATGGTTGAGTGGTAGAATTCTCGCCTTCCAAGGGGGAGACCCAGGTTCAACTCCTAGGCAATACACCTCAAGCACAGCTACCACCTGTGGCTTGCGTGTTGCTGAGAGGCTGAACAGGTGTCAGGAGAGCCTCCAGACTAAGAAGAAGGGCCTGGTGATCTACTTCCAAAACATCAGCCATGAAAATCCTGTGGATCACAACAGTCAGATTCTGTTGTGCATGGGGTCCCCATATGTCAATGGCAAACATACATACAATAACAACATATAATAAATTTAGGGTTTTTGTTGATCACAATTATTTCTCAAACTTATCTGATCATGTTGCTGTTGTTGTTAGCTACCATCGAGTGGTCCCCCCAACTCATGACACCCTATGCACCTCTCCCCATGATTGGTTGCGGACTGGACCGTTTTGATCTACATGGTTTTCACTGGCTGATTTTTGGAAGCAGATCTCCAGGCCTCTCTTCCTAGTCTGTCTTAGTCTGGAAGCTTTGCTAAACCTGCTCAGCATCAAAGCAACACACAAGCCCCCGCGGACAGACAGGTGGTGGGTGTGCATGTGCTGCACGGGCTGGGAATCAAACCCAGGGCTCCCGCATGGAAAGCGAGAACTCTATCACTGAACTACCACTGCCCTCTATTTGATCATAAACCAAAAACCAAACCCGATGCTGTTGAGTCGATTTTGATTCACAGCGACCCTATAGGACAGAGTAGAACTGCCCCATAGGGTTTTCCAAGGAGTGGCTGGTGGATTTGAACTGCTGACCTTTCGGTTAGCAGCCTGAGCTCTTAAGCTCTTAACCACTGCTCCACCAGGGCTCCTATTTAATTACAGAGGATCCTTTTTCAATGTAACATTTACATATCTCTCTGACTGGGAAATATTGTTTGACAGCAACATTATTACCCCGTTTTACAGAGGGGGAAACTTGAGACTTAGGAAGTTAACACAGCCTGCCTAGGGACTAACTGGCAGATGCAAGCTGGGAACCTACGTTTGCCTGTGAAGCTCTAGTCTTCCTGCTCTACCTGGCTGCCAGGGAGGGGGTGTGGCGGGAGTTGTGAGCAGGCGGACCTGGGGCACGGCAGGCAGGAAGTAGCTGGTGGGCTGCTGGGAGGAGCCCAGGATGGGGATGCCAAGGGCCCGCATGGTGGAGAGGCGCTGCATGTACTGGTTGGACAAGATAGCCCTCCGCTCCTCTTTGCGCTGGGCCAGTGCCACGTACAGTGGCTTGGTGCCGATGATACGCCCGTTCATCTCTGTCACGGCCTTTGTCGCCTCTTCTGGAGAGGAAAAACACACAAAGCCAAACCCCTTGCTGTGGCCACCCTCTGTCATCACCTAAAAGCAAGAAAGACAAGGACTGCTGGGGGTGGGGAAAGGAGACTCCTGGGGCAGTGCTCCCCTCCTCCCCCAGGGCAAAGCCTGGCACTGAGCGAGCCCACGAGGAACCTGGGACTGAAGGATGCACCGTCAGCCCCACATTTACTTAGGCCTACTGCATGCCAGCTCCTTTCCATACCTTCTCACCTCACACACACAGCTACCCATGAGGGAGGCACTGCCACTCCCACCTTACAGGTGAAGAAAGTGAGGCTCCAGAGATGGTCACCCGTCCCAGGTCACCCAGCCAATGGGTCACATCAGCCATGACTCAAACTCAGCCATGTTGTTGTGTGCCATTGAGTCGAATCTGACTCACAGTGACCCTGTAGGACAGAGGAGAACCGCCCCACAGGGTTTCCTAGGCTGTCATCTTTATGGAAGCAGATCGCCAGGTCTTTTCTCCCTCGAGTCACTTGGTGGGCTCAAACCGCCGACCTTTCGGTTAGCAGCCGAGTTCTTAACCATTAAGCCACCAGGGCTCCAAACCCAACACTACTTCCTGGTAAGCCTATACTGCCTCTGAAAGGCACTGAGCCAAGTTCTTTAGTCAGGTGTTTGGGGAAGAGGGTCTTAAACCTTTTTCTTTTAAAATAACCTTTTTTTAAATTTTGGAATAATTTCAGATGTATTGAAAAGTTGCAAAAATAGCAGAGTGGCTATATACCTATCACGCAGCCTCCCCTAATGTTAACATGGTACATTTGTCACAACAACAGTAACACCGGTACAACACTATTATACTATTAACTACAATGCTATTCATTAAACTCCAGCCTTCATTCGGATTTCACCAGTTTTTCCACTAATGTCCTTTTTCTATTTCAGGATCCAATCCACACTGCACTTTGGGTTCTTAGTCTTTTTTTAGGGTCAAGACACTGCCCTACCTCTAGTATATAAGAACTAGAGCTGAGATATAAAAATATCTGCCTACGAGGGGTCATGCTCTTGATCAGTGGTTTTTAAACTGCACTTCTGCTACCCACTAATACAGAAGTCTTAATCTGGGGATGCTCACAGAATCCAGGGGGACTGTGAACTTTGATGGGGATAGAAGTGACATCTTTATTTTTCACTAACCTCTAACTCGGGTTTTGATTACGAATGTGGGCAATAAAAACATTACAGCATTAACAGATCTCAAAATATCACTTAACTGCTACTTTGTCAGAAATTATTGTTTAATGGCATTAACAAAGCACAAACTGCTGTCATTTTAGTATTTTGATAATTGTATTTCATTATAATTATTTTTTGTAATTCTATGAATTTTATGAAGGAGCCTTGGTGGTACAGTGGTTAAGCACTTGGCTGCTAACCAAAAGGTCAGCAGTTTGAACCTACCAGCTGCTCCGCAGGAGAAAGATGTGGCAGCCTGCTCCCATAAAGATTACAGCCTTGGAAACCCTATAGGGAAGTTCTACTTTGTCCTATAGGGTCACTGAGTTGGAACTGACACAACAGCAACGGGTTGTGGTATGAGTTTTATTTTATACGTTTAAAAATATTCTGACAAAGAGGTCCATTTCTAGCACAGCTAACACTTACGCAGAGCGTACTGTAAGTGCTGTAATAAACACTTACATACATTAACTAACTTGGTTTGTATAATCATCTATTTTACATAGACAAAATATGTATAAAGTTATATAAAATCCCCGTTTATAACCTGTTTAGCCCATTAACAGGAGGCACACCGTCAGGTGTGCCTCAACTCAAAGCCATCCAGATTGATACAATTCTCTTTATTCCAGGAGTCTCCATGAGTTTCTAATCTGAGGTCTGTGAATCTCGTGAAATTACATGCACCTGTGTGACTACTGGAGCCCGGTCTGGTGGCTCAGTGATTAAGAGCTACAGGCTGCTAACCAAAAGGTCTGGCAGTTTGAATCCACCAGCCGCTCCCTGGAAACCCTACTGGGGCAGTTCTACTCTGTCTCATAGCATCGCTATGAGTCGGAATTGACTCGACGGCAATGGGTTTAGTTTTTTGGTGTGACTACTAATAATTATAACCAATTGCCATAGAACTGTGCTTCATTAGTGTTTCCAATGGCTGATTTATCTGAAATAGATTGCCAGGCCTTTCTTCTGGAGTGCCTCTGGGTGCACTCAAATCGCCCACCTTTCAGTTAGCAGCTGAGCGCATTAACCATTTGTGCCATCCAGCGGCTCCACTAGTAATTCTAACAATCACCATTTCACTACTCATTGTGTGCAGGTGCTTTACAGCAGCCTCTTGAGTACTTCCCAGGTCCTCTCTAGAGGCAGGTAATGTTATTCCCACTTTACAGGTGGGTAAAGGAGCACTAGTAGCTCAGTGGTTAAGTGCCTGGCTGCTAACCTAAAGGTCGTCAGTTCGAACCCATGAGCTGCTCTGCAGGAGAAAAGACCTGCCAATCTGCTTCCATAAAGATTACAGCTTAGCAAACCCTATAAATGGGGCAGTTCTACCCTGTCCTATAGGGTCTCTATGAGTCAGAGCTAGAATTGACTTGACAGCACAGGATCTTAAGGGAAACATCACTTGCCTCAGGTACTAAAGCTAGTTAATGGTAGGGCTGGGATTTAGATCTAGGTCTGAGTAACTTTAAAATCCCAGCTTCCAACTGTAACATTACACGAAGTACAAGAGGGCTCACAGTTTTTTAAAATATTTAATCAAATTTACTGATGCTCAATTTACACGTCCCTATAGCTCTCTGAATCGACTTGATGGCAGTGGGTTTGGTTTTTTTTTGGTTTATAGCTTTCTGTCACATTTTCCAAAAGGCCCCCAGCCCAAAAAATGTTACAACCTCTTCCTCAAACACCAGGCTCCTGAAGGACATTTACATTTGGATTAAATGGGCAAAAAAGGAATGTCAGACAACTTCCTAAGAATCCAGCTGTCACAACACAAGCACGGGTTCCCAGCCCCATCACCCACACTGATCTCTTTGGAAAGTTCTGTATTCTCACCTGCAACTCCCTACCTCCTACAGTCACAGCCATGTCAAATGCTGCTGCCACTGCCACTCCTCCCAGGAGGCCCACTCTACTGTTCCACTGAGCTCCGGCAGCCCTGCCTCTAGTACTCATTCCTTCTACCTTAGAATACATGTGAATTAGTGATATGTCTGACTTCCCCACTAGACTATAAGCTACTCAAGGGCAGGGACCACATCTGATTTGTTCCTTCTGCCTCCCACAGGGCCTGTAAAACAGCAGGAATGAAGGAACACTGATCATCTAAAAATCATCTGGGGCACTTTTTAAAAATAAAATGACAGGCCCTACCCCTAGAGAGGAAACCCTGGTGGTGTAGTGGTTAAGTGCTATGGCTGCTAATCAAAAGGTCAGCAGTTCAAATCCACCAGGCGCTCCTTGGAAACTCTATGGGGCAGTTCTCCTCTGTCCTATAGGGTCGCTATTGGTCAGAATCTACTTGACGGCAACAGGTTTGGTTTTGGTACCTCCAGAGATCTACATTCAATTTATCTGGCCCGAGCATCTGTATTTAAGAGCTCCCCAGGGGATTCTACTGAGCAGCTAAGGTTGAGAATCATCCAGAGAGCCCAACCTCCACCCCCATTTTATAGTGAAGGCTCAGAAGTTAAGACACCTGCCCAAGGTTAGAGCTACTAAATAGAATAGCCAGAGGGTCATATCTCAGCTGCCTAATGTGAGATATGACTGGGCACACGTAGGTGCTCAATAAATGGGGAAGAATGAATGATGATACAGCCCAACTCTCTCATGTTCCAGATGGAGAGACTGTCGCTGGCCAAGGCCATACAACAAAAGTCAGTGGCAATTACCGAGAGCTGAATTTCTGAAGCCTGGCATACAGTAGGCACTCAATAAACACTTGCTGAATGAACCAAGGTTACGGTGAGCCCCAACAACTCCAGCTGTGTGACTGGTAGTATATTCCCAACCCGCTCGCCCTCCAGCCCAGAACAGAGCTTCATATAAGGATGCAAGTAGACAAAGAGCTCCAGCTGGCTCAGACACAGCCCCCATGGGGTAGCTTGGCATCAACGCCCTGGAAGCCCCTGAGCGTGTCAAGGGGTTTCGGGGGGCAGCGACAGGAGAGAAAGGGAAGGCTGTCCTCTTGCAGGTGCTCCTGGCCCTCACCTTTGCACTGGTAATCATTCCGTAGGGTGAGAACTCTTTCCTCAGTTTCTCATCGTTGATGGAGTCATCCAGGTTCTTCACATACAGGTTCACGCCCTAGAAGGTAGGGGTATTGCTAGATACACCCCTCCCCCTCCAAGCCCCAGACTGCCTTGTGCAGAGCAGGGGGCTGACGCAGATGTGAAGAGCATCAGAAGCCCTGCAGCCAAGCCTCCTGCTCTCAGTCTCCCATGGCGCCCACACACCCCATCGCCTGGAAGCTACCACCCCACCATCCCTAAACCCCTGGCAGTTCTCAGACACCTGCGCCCATCCTAGCCTCACCACAAGCCTCTGCCCATTTCACAGATGGGACCCACAGGAAGAAGCCTAAGGTCCCACAGCCAGGCAGAGCTCCTGGCAGGCCTGGGCCAAGTCTTGCGGAGGTTGGACAGAGCAGCAATTAAGAGCCCAAGCTCCGGACCAGAGTCTGACCACAAGCTGCCGTTCCACAGACTGCCAACTGACTAACCTCAGGCACACTGTATGGTAGTCCCCCCCTTATTCGCAGGGGACACTTTCCAAGACTCACCTATGGATGCCTGAAACTGCAGATAGTACCGAACCCTACGTATACTATGTTTTGACCTATACATACAGCCATAGCTATGATAAAGTTTAATTTATAAATTAGGCACAGTAAGAGATTAACGACAACAACTAATAATAAAATGGAACAATGGTAACAATATACTGTATTTAAAAGTTATATGAATGTGGTCCCTGGGCAGGATAGAGCAGGAAGGTGTGAGATTTTATCATGCTACTCATTTAACATTTTCGGACCATGGTTGACTGCAAGTAACTGAAACCTCAGACAGTGAAACCATGGTGGGGGCGGGGTGGTGGTGGTGAAAGGGCTACTGTATGCTACTCATACTCGGTGCCAGGGACCACTATGAACCCTTTATGCACTTAATTTTTAATCCTCACAAAACTTCAATCCCCATTTTAAAAGGTGAGAAAATTGAAGCACACACAGGTTAGGTGAACAAGGTGACACAGCCCCTAAGTAGCAGAGACAAGGCTAACCCAGGCAGTCTAACTTGAGAGTCCGTGTTCCTAGCCACAGCACAATCCCAGCCTCCAGTGCACGAAAACGTGGGGAGGCACAACAGGCCACATCATAGGCGTCTTCTTCTGTAAGAAAGTCTAGAAGCTCCCTGAAAATGCTGTACGTGCAAACCAGGGTGTGTGTGTATGTGTGTGTGTACAGGGGTTTCTCAACCTTGACACTATCGACATTTTGGGCCAGATAATACTTTAGTATGGGGCTGTCCTGTGCACTGTAGGATGTTTACCAGCAACCACAGCTGGTAGAGACCTACTCAATGCCAGCAGCGCCCTCCCTAAATGCGACAAGCAAAAATTCCAGACATTGCCAATGTCTCCCTCACCCCATCGAGAACCACTGATATCTGATAAATTTACCAGTGGAGACAATTCTGACTCATGGCTACCCCATCTGTCTCACTCCATAGGGTTTCCAACAGCTGATTTTTTGTAAGTAGATCGCTAGGCCTTTATTCCAAGGCACCCGAGTGGACTTGAACCTCTAACCTTTCAGTTAGCAGCTGAGCACATTAACTGTTTGCACCACCCAGGGACTCCATCTGATATATAAAAAAAACACAGTATACATGTATACACACACCTCTCCATGGGAGCTCTGGAACTTCTATCAAATATTTTAAAGGAGTTCATTTCCCAAAAAACCAAAACCAAACCCATTGCCATCAAGTCGATTCTGACTCATAGCAACCATACAGGACAGAGCAGAACTGCCCCATAAAGTTTCCAAGGAGTAGCTGGTGGATTCGAACTGCCAACCTCTTGGTCAGCAGCTGTAACTCTTAAACACCATGCCACCAGGGTTTCTGAAAAAAGGTTAAATCACTAATCTGCAATATTTTAATTTAATGTACTATTTTAACTAAATAGTTGTACAATAGTCTGACTTTTGGATTAAACCTATTTGGCCTAATTATTGTCAACTGGGAGTAGGACTTTCCCTAGAGGCATCTAGAAATATGTAGGGAGCTTTGAAGGAGCCCTGGTGGCACAATGGTTAAGCACTTGGCTGCTAATTGAAAGGTCTGTGGCTCAAACTCCCTAGTGGCTCTGTGGCAGAAAAGACCTGGCAATCTGCTCCTGAAAAGATTACAGTCTAGGAACCCCTATGGAGCAGTTCTACTCTGTCCTTTAGGGTCGCTATGAGTCAGGATCACTAAGCACACAACAACAGCGCACTCTAGTTGTTCATGACTGGAGGCGGCAACTGGCATTTAGTGAGTGTGGACTAGGGATGCTAAATGGTCCCACACAAAGGATAATTCCAAATAAAAGGGCAGTAGCAACCCCGACCAGCCCCCGGTGGATGGGCAGCTGGGCTGTGTCCAGTTTCCCCACTGTTACAAATAAGACAGCGGAGAACATCCCAGTGCTCGTGTGATCCCAGTCCTGAGCCAAGTTCCAGGAAACGGGACTGCTAGAGAAAGGAGTCACATTCATGGTGGTCCGTAAACAGACACCTTCACACAGACGCAGCTGCCACCAGGAGGCCTGACCCTCACCTGGTAGCGGTTCAGCCGGTCCTGCTTCATCTGCTCGAACTTGCGTTTCAGTTCACTCTGCCGCTCTACCCGCTTCTGGGCCCGGCCCACGTAGAGGAGCCGCCCGCTCACCTCCTTCCCGTTCATGTCCATCACAGCCTGCAGTGAGGAGGGGAGAGTGTGCTTGGTAACTACCCTGGCTGTGGCCGAGGCTCTGACTCGGATGCTAGTCTTGGCCCTAGCCACCACCAAGAGGGGGTCACCTGTAAACCAAGATGGCCTTGTTCACTGAGAATCATCACTACCAGGAAAAGGGCCACTTAAAAAAGTGAACCCCCTTTTTAAAAACATGAGGCAAAATTGCAGAGTAGATTGCAGATAAAAACATTTGAATGGGGCTCCATCTTCAAAAAATGAAATTTTCTGGAATTCAGAAAATGCCCCATATTTAAGATTTAGGTTCTAACCATAACTACACGCTGATGATTTGAACGAAGCAGCAAGCATAGTTCTTTCCAAACTGCCTGACGGCATAATTGACAGCCTTCAGGTCATGTTTGATTTCGCAGCACAAAAGATCCTTTTTGTTAAACTGTTAAGTTTTCATTAAGGATCCCTGGTGACGCAGTAGTTAAACGTTCGGCTGCTAACCAAAAGGTTGGTGGTTCAGATGCACCAGAAGCTCCACAGGAGAAATGACCTGGCAATCTGTTCCTGTAAAGATGACAGCACAGAAAACCCTATGGGGCAATTCTACTCTGTTCTATAGGGTCGCTATGAGTCAGAGTCAACTCGACAGCACACAATAACACAGGGTTTTAATTCATGTTTTTAGAAACATCTGTGCCTTAACCCTTGCTGATTTTTCTTTTCTTCAGTTAAGCGGCCTAACCCTGCCCAATCCTAATTTGTCAGTGGTTTTGACCGCATAAAATCCTGCATCTTCTGCAAAGCCTGTCACCTCTCCCTGCAATCAATTTTCACTGAACTGAATTTACATCGACTTGCCAAAATCAGCAAAAGGTAGATCCACATGCACACTAATTCAGTGGTTAGGATCAGACATTGGTGTAGTGAGGAGGAATATTTGCAGGGAAACTGATTTTTTCAAGTGATTAACACATTAGTAACTATTTTCATATGATGATTTTTTGCCTCCCTACCCACATACGCAAGCCTGCTGACTCAGGACTGCCTGCTCTACGTTAGTCCTAAAAGGTCATTACCGAAGTCTCTAAACCCTTGGAGTCTGTGGACCCCTACAGCTTTGCCCATCTCCTCCAGTTTGTCATTTTACAGCTGAGAAAACCAACGTCTGGAGAGAGGGTGGGACTTGTCCAAAGACACACAAGAAGTTATATTTCAAAGGAGCCATCTAGTTAAGAACAAAGCTTCGGAGTCAGAAAGACCTGGGTTCTAATCCCAGCTATCTCTTACTTGCTGCAACCTTGTGGAACCTCGATTTTCTTATCTATAATGTAGGGTCAATAATAACAGTAGAGCCCACATTGGTGGGAACAGTAATGAGAACGTACACAAGATACGCAGCATGCTGCCTGGCCCACGGTTAGTGCTCAAGGAGAAAGGGCTACAATCAAGATGGCAGCAGGATCCAGGTCTCCAGCCAAATCCACCATAGCTGAGACCCTCTGTGTCCAATGATCTTAATAGGATGGCAGCCATGGAAAGAGCCCTATGGTGGGCTGACATTCCAATCCCAGCTTTGTTGCTAACCGGGTGACCCTGAACCATTCACTTGTTCAGCAAATAATATACCTAGTGGCAGGCATGGTATGAGAGATTTAATGGTGAAACAAGACACAGCCCCTCCCCTCACTTGTACACATGGTGATCTGTGCTAATGATGGAGAGGGATAAACAAAGCACATCTCATCAGAAGTGTGTGAAGACAGGAAGGCACAGATTCCTGCAGAACGAAGAATATAAGCTGAGACCCAAAGCGTTGACATTAAATAGTTTAAAGCTATTCTGTTCAATAAGGAGCCCTGATGCTGCAACGGTTAAGCGCTCAGCTGCTAACTGAAAGGTTGGCAGTTCAAACCCACCAGCAGCTCTGCAGGAAAAAGACTTGGTGATCTGCTTCTGTAAAGATTACAGCCAAATCAATCCTATGGGCCAGTTTTACTCCGTCACATGGGGTCACCATGAGTCATAATCAACTCGATGGCACCCAAGAACACACTGTCCGATATGTTAGCCACTAGCTGTAGGCAGCTACTGAGCACTTGGAATGTGGCTAGTCCAAACTGAGATATGCTGTATCAGATTTCAAAAAATGAATACAGAAAAAAGAATGTACAATATCTCTATTTTTGTACTGACCATATGTTGAAGTGATAATATTTCAGAAATATTAGTAACATGAATTTCAGTTTTCTTTTTCACCTTTTTTAATGTGACTAACTGGAAAATTATAAATTATATATGTAACTCACATTTCTATTAAATTGTACTGGTCTAAAAAGCAGGAGAAGGGAAGTGTTTTGAGAAAACTGCATTTGCAAAGGCCTGGAAACAAGAAATAATATGGCACTTCCTCTCCCTGGCCTCAGTCCCGCCAAGGAAAGGGTTAATGGCTACCTCAAAGGCCCTCCTAGCTCCCATGTGGCAAGAGTTATGAAAAGAAGCCAACCTTAGGGGTAGGGTTAAGTAGCAACCAAAGGAGGATGAAGCCTGCTGGCTTGGCATCACAGGCAGGAAGGGCCCTGGCTGTGTGTGGGAGTCTTCCACTCCTCTGTGTCCAGGCTGGGGAGGGACTTTCTTCCCCTGCATGGGCAGCTGGAGCACCCTACTCCTGATCTCCATTCCTCCTAGTCCTGGATTGGTGCCTCCTCCCTGGAACAAGGTCACGGGGAGGCTCCTACCTTCTGGGCTTCCTCGTGCTTCTCAAAGTTGACAAAGCCAAAGCCCCGGGAGTGGCCGTTGCTGTCCTTCATCACCTTCACACTCAGCAGCTTCCCTGGGAAGATCAACCTGGCTCAAAGGAGAGTTGGGGAAGCCCTAGGAGGTCTCCCCACCTTCCCACAAGTCCTCAGGAAGCCACAGGGGGCTCTCTTCCCAGCCAGACCTGGGGGTGGAAGAAGAGATAATGATGCCCCCTCCTCCCAGGCCTCAGGGAGCATGCCTACCAAACGGGGAGAAGAGGTCCTGCAGGCCCTGCTCGTCCACATCCACTTGGAGGTTCTTCACATAGATGTTGGTGAACTCCATGGCCCGAGCCCTCAGCTCCGCCTCCCGGTCCCGTCGGGACTTGAAGTGGCCAACAAAGCTGTGAACAAACGACAAGGTGGGCAGCTGCCAGCCATCAGCTGCCATCTCCACCCCCTCTTCCAACCCCTGCCACCCTCGGCCCCTTCTCCAGGCCTCTATCTCCCTCATGAGGAAACTGGATAGAGGGGCAATCCTCCTTACAGGGAGCACATCCAAGGCCTAAGCACCTCCCTCCAACAGCCAGGATTCTATGCTGCAGAGCTTGCCCCCAGCATAAGGTCAAGGAGACTCCATTCTTGCGACAAATGCACACAGAACTCCTCCTGTACTCCAGGCAGCTGAGAGCAGGAGGCAGGTGCATGAACCTGGGAGTCAGGCAGTCGAGGGCTTGAATACTGGCTCTGCAGCTGACTAGCTGTGCAGCCCTGGGTAAGTCACTTAACCTCTTTGAGCCTCAGTTTTTATCCCTGCGAAACTGGAAATCAAATTCACATCCTGTGGATTGGTTTATTCATTGAATGTGTACTGGGCACACTAGGGAAGCAGGAGAGAGAAAACCACACAGGGTCCATGCCAGCGTTACTATGAGGGTAAGGGCAAGGGGGACCTGAAAACACTTAAATACAACATTAATTTTTTAAATTGTCTGTAATTTCCAAGTTCATGTAAACACACCTAGGATAGTATCATAGATTAAGACAAAAATCAAGCCTAAGAAATTTTCATGGTTATCTCCAGCACATTTAGCACAAAGTTGTAGCAGCCACCAAAAACTGAAGGAAACTGAGGCAAAGGTAAGCCTGGGCAAACTCCAGTTCACAAAGCTGGCGTCCTCCTGAAAGCTGGGAAAAAAGCCCACTGAGATTCAGGTTAGTGGACAGGAGCCTCCCCTGAGAAACCCTGGACAAAATGACTCTCGGAGCCTCTCCCAGCTCAAAGCCTCCTTCACTTGTAGCACTGGGCATGAGGCTGGGCATCACATGGGCAGAATCAAAGCTGGGAGCGTTCTGTTAAATATATTTTAGCACAAGAAAAAAAATAAAACTTAAAAAGTAAATAAAAACTGGGGGAGAACTGCCAAAGCAGATTCCCTTGAGCATTTGCGTCTCAATTTTCCCATCCGTGAAATGGGGATGATACCACAGTTAACTGTCTGAAGATGACAGGCGGAGCATAGGTCTGCTTTCTTCCCATCACAAAATCCCTTGAAATGACACAAAAGGTTTAAGAAAAACTTCACAGCCATGTCGAGATGGCTGGACAGCAGGTGAAATCACTGTGTCCCCTGATGACCTAGCCATCAGCCATTCCTTCTACTCGAGCCATCCTCCAAGGCATATCAGCCCCATTTTCCCGTGAGGAAAACGAGTCCCGGGGCGATTGAGTGACTTATTCAAGGCTACACTGCCCCGGGCACACCACCTGCTGCTCAGCGCCTGGTGCCTGTTAGAGAGTGGCAGGTGGCATCGGTCCCCACTCGGTGGTGCTATGATTCCGTCCCTTCTGCCTTGGGCCCTCTCCTGGGACCGACCACTCACACTTTGCGGTCATTCAGCAGCATCCCGTTCATGGTGCTGATGGCCTGCTGTGCAGCCTCATGGGTCTCAAAATGGACAAATCCGAAGCCCCGGGAGCCACGCTCGTCACACACCACCTGGGCCACAGGAGAAGGGCAGGGAGAGCATCTGACAGAGAGTTCAGGTAGAAAACAGTGGTAAAGGGAATAATGACAGGTATCCGAGCACTCACTATGTGCACATGAAAAACAATCCTATGTCACATGTATAACAACCCCAACTTACAGACGGGCAACCAAAGCTCAGACAGGTCAATTCACTTGCTTAAGATCACACAGTAAAAAGTGATAGAGCCCTCACATTGAGCACAGGTCTCGCCTAGACCACAGTCAGGTATATCTCTCAGGCGATGGGCAAAAGGATTAAATTCAGTTCCCACATTCTTGCATCCTTGTTTTTTCTAGCTGTTTAATGGCTTTAGTTCTCACATTTAGATCTCTGATCCATTTTCAATTAGTTTTTGTATATGGTGCGAGGTATGGATAGACTTCATGCTTTTGCATATGGAAATCCAGTTTTCCCAGCGCCGTTTATTAAAGAGACTCTACTGAAAGCAGCAACACAAACAGACATGTCTGTTCCCCAGTGTTGATTGCAGCACTATTCACAGTAGCCAAAATGTGGGAAACAACCTAAATGTCCATCAACAAACAAAAAATGTGGTATATACATACAACAGAATACGACTCAGTCATCGAGAGAAATGAAGTGTTGAGCCATAATACACCATGGACGAACCTTGAAAACCTTATGCTCAGTGAAATTAAGTCAATCATTAAAAGGAGAAACACTGTATGATCTCACTTGTATGAAACAAAAAGAAGAGGCAAAGGTACAGAGACCAAAGTTTATTAGTGGTTACCAGGCAAAGGAGGGAGGGCGAAAGGGAGAGCCATTGTTTCTGAAGCAGTGAATATTTGTTTATAGTGAAGGAACATCTGGCAATGGTTATGGGTGATGGTTGCACAATATGATTAATGTAATTGATATCACTAAATTGTACACCTAAAAATGTTGAATTGGCAAATGTTATCTTAAATATATTTTTACAACCATAAAAAAAAAAAAAACTCTTTTTCCCATGGAATGGACTTAGCATCTGTTATAGATTGAATTGTGTCCCCCCAAAATGTGTGTCAACTTGGCTAGGCCATGAGTCCCAGTATTGTGTGATTGTCCACCATTTTGTAATCCGATGTGATTTTCCTGTGTGTTGTAAATCCTACCTCTATGATGTTAATGAGGCAGGATTAGAGGCACTTACGTGAATGAGGCCGAACTCAATCTACAAGATTAGGCTGTATCTTGAGTCAATCTCTTTTGAGATATAAAAGAAAGACATGACCAGAGAGACAGGGGGACCTCATGCCACCAAGAAACAAGAGCCAGGAGAACAGTGCATCCTTTGGACCTGGGGTCCCTGCGCTGAGAAACTTCTAGACCAGGGAAGATTCACGACAAGGAACTTCCCCCAGAGCCAACAGAGAGAAAGCCTTCTCCTGGAGTGGATGCCCTGACTTTGGACTTGCAGCCTCCTAAACTGTTTGAGAGAATAAACTTCTCTTTGCTAAAGCCATTCACTTGCGGTATTTCTTTATAGCAGCACTAGATAACTAAGACAGCACCCCTGACAAAAATCAACTGACCATAGACATATAGGTTTATTTCTGGACTCTCTATTCTGGTGGTCTATATGTCTATCGTTATACCAGTACCAGGCTGTTTTGATTATTACAGCATTATAATATGTTTTGAAATCAGAAGTGTGAGTCCTCCTACTTTAGTCTTCTTTTTCACGATTACTTTGGCTATTCGGGGCCCCTGCATCCTTGTTTTTAACAGCTAATTAGAAACAACCTGAGTCTCCACCCAGAGAGGACTGGTTATATATCAGCACATTCATACTATTCTACTGTATGTGCATGGCTGAAGAGAATGTGATTACAGGGCTATGCGATTACACAGCTGGTGTGGAGTTATCTATCAGGTTACTGTTACATGGAAGAAAAAAATCAAGCCCAACTAGGCTAAAGTGGGAACTTTTGAAACAGGCACATGCAAAACTGTTAATAGCAATTATTTCTGGGGACAAGGACAAAAAAAAAAGAAAAATCAAAGGGATAGAGCCTTTTCTTTTTACTTTATTGCCTTTCACGTTGTTTAAACTTTACCACTTGATGTATTATTTCAACAAAAAATTTGTCTCAACTTTTCAAAAGATGTGCAAACATCCTACTCCCATTCTGCAACCCTCCTGACTCAAGTTAGAATTACAAGGACCTTCTAGTTCACGTAATTCATTCCCATCCCTCTTGCTGAACATGCACTAAGACCACTAACCCCAATCTCAGTGACTTTTCAATGTGTCAACGGCTCCCACCGGTGCCTGCAGCCACTGCCCTAGCTCACGTAAGTGGCATCTTCTGCCTAGAAGACCATACCAGTCTCCCAATCTAGCTTCCACGCTGACTCCTGGGCTCCCCTTTCCAAAATGTAATCTGACCACATCCCTTTAAGACTTAACCTCTAGTAGCTTGTACTATCTACAGAACTATATCAACTTGGCATTCGAGGCTCACCAACTGGCCAGACAAGACTTTCCCACACAACAAGTTTTACTTCCAAACCCTCACCATCACATGCCCCTTCACCTCTCCAGCCCCACATAGGGGCCCCACTTTCAACCCAAGCCCTAGCTGTTCTATTCAGACTTACTGCATGCTGGCTGAGTCCCCACTCTGGGTCAAGCACCCGCTAAGGGCATCACTTACTGATCTTGTCATATTTGCCATAATAACCCTTTCAGGCAATTCTAACTTCTAAGCCTCAGCTGCCTTATTGGTGAAAAAGTGGGAGTAATGATTTGTCCAAGGTCAGCCAACCACAGATAGTTATTTTTTAGATGCTTAACAGTGTTCCAGGTACCCTTTCAAGGGCTATACGTGGATTAACTCAGGTAATCGCTTCACAACAACCCTACAAAGTGGCTCTATCACTGCCCCTTTTAGAGGAAAGGTTGGAGGTTTGTGTCCACCCAAAAGCACCTCAGAAGGCCAGGCAATCTACTTCTGAAAAATCAGCCATTAAAAACCCTATGGAGCACAGCTCTACTCTGACACACATGGGGTCACCATGAGTTGAAATCTACCTGACAGCAAGTGGTAGGTTTTTTTTTTAAACTGGTGGCATGGAGATGTGAAACTAACCGAAGGTCACACAGCCGGTGGAAGAAGGATCTGAACTCAGGAAGTCTGGCCCCAAAGTCCACAGTCTGACCCATTATGTCATGCTGCCTCTCTGCTAAGTGGCTAGGATCTGTACTCGGGTGGCCTGACCCCTGGTCTGGTCCACTTCCCACTATGCTACAGAAACCTCTCTTGACCAGCCACATGGCTCTCTCCCTCCTGTGCCTCTGACTACCCTCATCATTATGCTTTTCCCTCAGGGCCCAATTTCTGGTTATTCCTAAAAGTCCTGCCACCTCCTATCTGCCCGAGAACACCTCAAGGGTAGGAACTGCAACAGGGCCTCATCAGACCTGCGAAGACTTGCCTGGGTAATGCGGGCTTTCTGTCCAACCCTCCATGGCCCAGAGGAAGCCTCAAGGCCTGGATGAGAGGAAAAGAAATACTGTTCCCTGTTAAACTGGCTTCAACTAAGCCAGCAATTAGAATCAAACATACCAAGGATCATGAGGATGGCACAGGACTGGGTAACATTTTGTTCTGTCATACATGACATACATACGTACATACTAGATGGCAAGTAACAAGCCAGCAAATGTGTTGGTTCCAATCCTGGCTCTACCACTCCCACTCCTCCACCCCTTCCGTGTAACTGTGGACAAGTCACTCCACCTCGCTGAGCCTCTTGGTCTTCAAATGTAACTCAGGGATCCTTCTATTTATATCTTAAGGGCCTGTTGTGAGGAATTCAATGTGGTCATGTATGCAGAAAACTGAGCACACAGGAAGTACTTGATAAATCTGCTATTTTTGTTAAGAACTTACCAATTAAGGAGTCTCTCTCTTCTTTGGTCCTCAAAGAGACGAGACAGCCCTTTATGTCTCTTTATCACGGAGAACCATTCACACGTTATTGTACCTCTCCAAGCCTCAGTCTCCTCCTCTGAGTCAGAGGGACAGTCCCTCATTCAAAGGGAGGCCGTGACAAATATTGTGTGATCCCACTTTTATAAGATTAAAAAAAACAAACAAACCAAACCTGTTATCGTCGAGTAGATTCCAACTCATAGCGCCCCTATAGGACAGAGTAGAACTGCCACACAGGGTTTCCAAGAAGCGCCTGGTAGATCTGAACTGCCGACCTTTCGGTTAGCAGCCATAGCTCTTAGCTACTACACCACCAGGGTTTCCACAGAAAGACAAGAATAGATATATAGAGACCAATGTTCATTGTGGTTACCTGGGAGAGGATTATGAGGGGAGAGGAATCACACTCTAGATCATAGATACTTACTATTTTTGGTGATGGGAAAAGTAGCATCGAATATGGGTGTAGTAAGCACAGCTTGACCAAAGTAAATGGTGTCACTAAGAAGCACTCAAAAGAAAAGGATGCTTATACTAAAGATTTTGACATATATCATCTGGCAACAACACCAACAATGACCAAAAAACAAGTGTATGGTTACATGAATATGTATAGGCATATAGGTATATGGGTAGGTACAGGTGTATACATTATGTGTGCATAGACAGAAGTTTCCATATGTACGTGTTAAGTACAGATACCTGTGTGCAGGCACATACATTCATAGAAGACACAATCATAGATACTCTTCAGACATAAATACCCTGCAAAATTGGCTTTCTAGGTTTGAAAGCTTAGGACCATAGTCTCATGGGACAACTCAGTCAACTGGCATAATATAGTTCACAAAGTCCATGTTCTACATTCTAGTGATATGAGTAACGCCTGGGGTCTGAAAGCTTGCGAGTAGCCACTTAAGATACAACTACTGGTTTCTATTTGTCAGGATCAAAAGAGTAAGAAGGAAACCGGAGGCTCAAGAAGAAACAAGTATACAGGGCTAACAGCCTACATGTGCCACAGCCTCTTCTACCCCGAGATCAGAAGAACTAGATGGTGCCCGGCTACCACTATCGACTGTTCTGACCAACCAAAATAGATTGTCCTAGGCAGAACAGGAGAAAAATGTCGAACAACATTCAAATACTTAAAAAAGACCTGACTTCCTGGATCAGTTGAGACCAGAGGACTCCCTGAGACTATTACCCTGAGATACTCCTTAAACCCTGAACCAAGATCACCTTTTAGCAAAATAAGAGTGGCACACAAAATAAAGGATATTATCCCTAACTACAGTACTCTACTAAAAAACCATCTACATGAGACTAACAGATCAACATTTACTCTAAAGCAAAAATGAGAAGATAAGGGGGCAGGGAAACTAGAGTACTGGAAATGGAATAAACAGGACACAATTAGACAATGTTGACACTGTGAAAAATATAACTTACGTCACTGAACAATTTGTATAGAAACTGTCAAATGGGAACCTAACTTACTATGTAAAATTTCACCAAAAATACAATAAAAATATTTTAAAAACAAAAAGAAAGAAATCTGGTCAACAGCTGAAAAAACAAAACAAAAACAAAAGGGAGGCTGTGAAGCCTAGCTGAGAACTCTAAGAATTATGCCTGGCACATAGTTGGTGCTCAAATAGGAGATCTGACACAGAGGTCACCATCAGTCCCCCAGGCCTCCCCAGAAGGGTGGGCACTCCAAGGGCTACAAGGGAACTGGCCATTCTCACAACATCTATGGGCAAAATATCCAGGTTTAAGCCCTCTGGTCAGGCACTGACGAACCTGCTATATGATCTGATTCCACCTTCCTCATACACAAAGTCAGAGAAATCACAGGAGCTTTCCTCAAATGATAACACATCCATTTGGCCAAAAAATATTTACTGAGCACCTCCTATGTGTCAGGTCCTATTCTAGGTATAGCAATACAATGATGAATAAGAACAAGCTCACTGCTTTCATGGAGCTTATGTTCTAGTACAAGAGAAATATTTAAAAAAAGGTATGGTTCATTGATTGCCTTGATGGCCCCAATTAATGGGCTCCTTATATCCATATCCTTTGCCCTGTAACTTTCTACTCCCCTCTCATTCTGAATTTGGGCTGGCCTTGTGACTTGTGTTGGCCAACAGAATGCAGAGGAAGTGAGGGTGTGCCAATTCCAAGCTTAGGCTTCAAGAGGCCTAGTGAGCTTCTACTCTCTGTCTTCTGGAACCCTGTCATTGCCATGAGAATAGTCTAGGCTAGTCTGCTGGAGGAGGAAAGACCACAGGGAGGAAAGCCAAATGTCCCAGCTGACAGCCAGCCAATCCCTAGAAGCACAGCCATCCAGCCAACCTTGGTGGATATATGAGAGAGCCCAGCCAAAACTAAAAGAACCACCCAGCTGAAGTTAGCCCCAATTGCCAAGTAAAGAATTATGAGCTAAATAAATGGCTGCTGAGTACAGCCACTAAGTTTTGGAGTGGTTTGTTACACAGTGAGAGCTAACTGATACACAGGTAACCTCTGACAGTGTTATGAATACTGAAAAAACAACTACTATCCAAGCGCTTGCTATACCTGAAGCTTTACAGAAAAGAACAAACAAACAAAAAAAAACAAAGCCATTGCCGTCGAATCCATTCTAACTCATAGCGACCTTACAGAACAGAGTAAAACTGCTCCATACAGTTTCTAAGGAGCGGCTGGTGGATTTGAACTGCTGACCTTTTAGTTCGCAGCCGAGTTCTTAACCACTGCAAAGGACAGTGTAAAACCACTGCAAAGGAAAGTGAGAACCACAAGAGAAAAATAAAGTGAGGTGTGGCTTGGCATCCCACTATTGTATGGGTATCTGGCAGAGGACCTTCCAAAGAGGTACACCCACCTTGCAAGAGAGGATGTTCCCAAAGGTAGAGAAGGTATCATATAAGGCCTTGTTGTCAATGGAGTCCTCCAGGTTCTTGATGAAGATGTTGCCCACACCCGACTTGCGAAGTCCTGGGTCTCGCTGGGACCACATGATGCGGATGGGCTGGCCTTTGATCACCTCAAAGTTCATTGTGTCCAGGGCCCGCTCCGCTGGGCAGGAGGAGGAGAGAAAGGAGCAAGTTAAGGGGATTTTCTTTCCTTGAGCCATCAAGGTGATCCTTCATGCTTAACTGGGAGTCAAGAAAAAGTCATTGTTTTGGTCTCACCTGAGGTAAGAGCCTGAAGGCTCAGGAAGGATCAGCAGAAAAAAAATTAATGTATATGGTGCTCCTCCCACCTCCCAGTTACGATCTCATTCAACTCCTCACTGTAGCCACATGGGCACGGATTCCTATCCCCATTTTACAGATGGGAAAACTGAGGCTCAGAGAGCCAAAAGGTCAGTGGCAAAACTAGGTCTGCTCTGCCCTCTAAAGCATACTGAGTAGATAGGAAGGGCTACATGACATGGGGTGGCAGCAGTGTGAGAAAATTAAAGCTCAGAGGTACTGAGCAGCAGAGCTGAGATTCGATCCTAAGTAGTGGCTTTGGGGACACGAACATTACTTCTCTTAGCCTATCTCCTTACCTGTAAAGTTGAGCCGATGACATTACCTACTTTACCACATCTGCCAAAGGGTATCCTACCTACCTCCAGGTTGCTGGACAGATTAAAAATGAAATAAGGTGTGCAAGGTGCTTTACACCTTGGCACAAGAGTAGGTGTTAGGTAAATGGTACCAGTTACCATCAAGTCCACACCAATTCACGGCAGCCCCACGCGTGTCAGAGTAGAACTGTGCTACACAGGGTTTCCAACGGCTGATTTTTTGGAAGTGGGTCACTAGGCATTTCTTCTGAGGAGCCTCTGGATAGACTCAAACCTCCAACCTTTGAGTTAGCAGCCAAGTGTGTGAACTGTTTGCACTACTCAGGGACTTCTTGGTAAACCGTTGCTCTGTGCCACTGAGTCCACTCTGACTCATAGTAACTCAGTGTGACAGAGTAGAACTGTCCCATAGAATTTCATAGGCTGTAATCTTTATGGGAGCAGATCACCACTTATTTTCTCCCACCGAGCCACTGGGTAGGTTCGAACTGCTGACCTTTAGGTTAGCAGCCGAGCACTTAACCATTGTGCCTCCAGGTAGTGTGTCTGAAACCAGCAGCTTATGCCCATTCTTCCGCCACTGCTACAGCCTGTCCCCTCTCCCACTGCCCTGTAAGCACAGGAAATATGCTGTTCCCTGCTCCAGGGACTCCAGTCGTTTTGGAGGCAGGCAACGGGGCTGTGGGGAACCCAGTGGAGCCAGCTTCAGGGAGTCTGAGTTCTCTGCCTAGTCCTGCGATAAACCATAGGGGCAAAATCCCTCCTCCTTGCTGGAGCTTAGTTTCCCCATCTATGAAATGGAGCAAAAAGGTCAGGTCCTGCTTCACTCACAGGGCTCTGAAGGAGGGAGGAGGGAGAGGTGCGGGAAAACACAGCCAAGGGGAATGCTCCCTGCAATCCAATCCAGTCACCTGCTGGGAAACAGGCTCTGCAGAACAACCCCTCCCCTCAGCAAGCACCCAACTCAGGGGAACCTCCTCATCCACCCAGGAGACATGGAGTTAGGGCGCCCTCTCTTGGACTTGGCTTGGACAAGCCTTTTTTGGTTATGTTTCTGAAATCTTTAGTCGTCTGTGCATTACAGCTACTGTTATTTTTCTGAGGTTAACATTTATTGACAGCTTACCAAATGATATAGGAGATACTTTACAGACACCAGTTCTCCATTCTTCCCATGTCATTGGGGAGTAAGTCATAGCCCCTTTTTACAGATGAAGAAACTAAGGTGCCCAGAGTAAAGTCTGTCTCAAGATCACACCCTAGCGGTACAGCTCGAACCCAAACGGGTGCTCTTAATCTTTATCCTCCCACTCTCAACAGAAGTGTAGACAAGCCCATGCGATAAACTGTAATCTCTTCTATCAGCTCTGAGAAACGCGTTTTGGAGCCCGGACACAGAGGAGGCTGTTCGAGGCTCCGGAGGTGGAGGCACCAGGTGCAGCTCTCAGGTCACCCTGCCCCTAAAGGCCCCAGGCCCAGCTCTCCTGGCGTCCCCACTCGCCAGCTGTGTCGTCTTGGGCCTTTTCCTCACCAGATGCTTTGCATCTCTTACCCTCATAACCACTCTACGAGGCAGTTACGACGCCCCCATTTCTCAGAGAAGCAACTAAGGCTGAGTGGGCGAGTAACCCGTCCAAACTCACACAGCTGCTGGGTCTCTATCCCAGGCCTGCCTGACTCCGACGCTCTCGTTTGTTTTCCGTCGGCCTGTCTCTCATTTGTAAAATGGGGCAATACCAACAAAACACACAGTAGGAGCCCACTAATTGCTACTTCCTGTCTCAGGAGCAGGGCCCCTTCCAACGCCCGGTATCTCGACCTAGTTTCCTTAGCTGCAAAATGGAAGCTGCAGGAGAAGCTAGAGATGCAAGTGGCCGAGGCAGGCAGGAAGCCAGCCGCGAATGCCGTCTGTCTGTCGGTCGGTCGGTCCCCTCTCCCCCGGGCTCACCGTCGGCGGGCTGCTGGAAGTTGATGTAGGCGTAGCGTAGCGAGCGGCGGGTGGCCACGTCGCGGCACACGCGGATGGACAGGATGGGCCCGGCGGGCAAGAACTTCTCATAGAGCATGGCCTCGGTCACGTCGGCGTGCAGGTCGCCCACGTAGAGCGAGGCCAGCGGGTACCCCGGGCCGCTGGCGTTCATGGCGGACGGCGCAGTGGGGCGAGGAGGCGCCGGGTCACCGAGCGAACCCCGCGCTCCGGGGACCGCCCCCTGCCCGACGGCGCCCGTGTCGGCTCACGCCTGCGGAAGCCTGGGAAGCGGGGAGCGCAGGGCGGCGCGGGGGGCTCTTCCTCGCGAGGGCTGGCCCGCCCCTTCTTTAAGGCCCCCGGGCCTGCAGGCCAATCACGGGCGCACCCGCCCCGGAACTCCTTCCTTTCCCCTTTACCGCACCTGGGACCCCTCTGCGTTCTAGAAGCCTCAGGTGGGGGTTTCTCCGACCCTGCCGGGGGAGGCGGGGAAAACCCTCAGCCTGGCCGAGTAGGTCTGGGGGGGACCTGGGTGGGCTCCGAGACCCTCTCAGAGAGCGCAGAAAGGGCGGGGGACTGGGGCGGCAGGAGACTGAGGTTATAGTCCTTGAATACGTCATTACCTTTCTGGGCCCGTTTCTTTTTCTGTAAAACACGGACGATTCACTCTTCGCAAGGACTAAACGAGACAGTCGTTTTTGTGCATGTCTTAAGTACAACACCCACTGCCCTCGAGTCAGTTCTGCCTTATAGCGACCATACAGGACAGAGTAGAACTGCCCCGTAAGGTTTCCAAGGCTGTAATCTTTCTGGAAGCAGACTACCACATCTTTCTCCCTCAGAGAAGCTGGTTGGTGGGAACCGCTGACCTTTTGATTAACAGCGGAGCACTTTAATCACTGTGCCACCAGGGCTCAGGTAGAAACCCGACATGGGTACCCTTCCAAAGCTTGTGTTAAAGATAATTTTATCCTGCCCCTGAAAGGCGTCTTTTAATTGTGGAGAGCCCAGATCCGGTTCCACCTTTCTGTACCAACGTGGAAAAAGTTTTATGACTTGGGGCTGTAAGGGGAGAAGTCTCTATGTGAGGAGCATTCAAGAGCACTCCTTCCTCAGCACTGGTTCTTACATTGCTGAGACCTTCCTGGGATATTCCCTGTCTCTTTCTCTTGGCTAAGCCATTCATTCCACTTGGGGACCCAAAAAGGTTCACCAGTTACTTCTGAACCAGCCTGTATGGGAACAGTAGGAGCCCAACAGGAGAGCAAGACCGAGGTAGTGGCCCCAGGGCTGAGCAGCAAGACTCCCCTGCCAGCTGAGAAACTTGCCACCTCAAACTATCTGTAGTGTAGGGCCATTTTTAAACATTCTAATCCATTGTGGACCAATACTTCACCTTGCCTGTCATGGGGAACTCTCCTGGCTCCCAGCTGCAGCACAACAGGTAGGCTCCCACTGGGTGTGATCTTACCATACAGCTGGGCAGCTTCCCAGCCAGGAGGAAGAGCTAGCTGGTCAGGCTGCCCAGCCTCACAGCAGCAAGGAAGCATCAATCAGTTCTGATCCTGGGCTAAAAAACAGCAGCTATCTTGTTTTTTCTCTCCTTATGGGAGTGGATGTCTTTAGGAGAGGGCAAATCCCATGAAGAAACAGAGCTGCAAGCTAATCATAAGCAGCGTTATGACAGACTGGTATAACCTTGGAGATGACTAAGCCTTGAGGCTGTGCAGCCATCTTCACTGCTTGGTTACATCTCACGGGAGAGCCTGAGGTAGGGCTCTTGAATGCTATGCAAAATAACTGACCACACCAAATCTTAGAAGCCACAAAAGAGGACTTAACAGCAGGAGGGTTTGTAGGGGAAGGTGAAGCACCATCAGGTGGAAAGAGGTTCTGTGTTAACTGACGGTAATTTTGTCCTCTTTACAACACCTTGACTTGGTTCTAAAGGGTGGAATAAAGCTGATGCCTACTTTTAAAGAAAGGGCAGAGCCAAAAATAAGTGTGATCAGAATAGCTAGCTAGTTCTCGTAGTGACAGACGGAGTGACACACCGACTCACAGGCAACTAACTGATAAAATTTTTTATTTCACTTTTGAATTTTTACACTTTTCCTGATTATTCCATGTAAGGTGAAACTAGAACTGTTTAAAGACATACACAAATCTAGTACATCAATAACCAGGGATTTTTATTTTTTGCTATACTATTTTCACAACCACGGGTGTGCTTGCTAGGCAATATAACCATCACAGAAGCAAACGTTAGGCAGAATACTGGTAAGGAGAAACAAAGCAAGAAAGAGCTACCAGATATACAGACAGGCTCGGTTCCACATTCACTACTGCATTTATCAAGCGCCAAGTATTAACTGCACGTTTTTGTTCAGCTAGGAAGGAGAGGGGGGAATTTTTTTGTCGCTGTTTTTTTTTTTTTTCTTTTGTTTGGTTTGTTTTAAATCAGTGCATGAATTTTTCTTTTCTCGTTTCAGCAGATGGACAAACAGATGGACTCTACAGGTACATGGAATGTTAAGGGTAGAGGGGTGACACTGTTAGACAGATAGGCCTGGCTATTCTTGATTCTCTCCACTGCAGTGTCCATGCAACTCCCCTGCATTATAGGGTCTTGTTTAAACACGTCTGGGAACTTAGCTGGATGACTACACTTGGGAGATCCAGTGACAAGTACTAACAAGCATTATCAGGGCTGGCTGCATTATAGGAAGAAATCATGGGATGTTTGAAAATACTTTTTTGATTTAGATCTTGGTATGACTGAAGAGCAACAACCGTGCTGAGAACTGGAGGAAGACAGAGCTAGGGTGCCGGCAGCTCTTCTCAACTCTATGAAGCAAGGCCTGCTCACCAGGGTACTCACCAACTTCTCTTACTCCCTCCAGACCCCCTTCCCTGCCCATATAGTATTAAACAGTAAACAAAAGACAAAGATAATTCAAAAAAAAAGGAGGCAGGAGGACAGAGATTTAAACAGGGAAGAGAAAGCCAACGTCTACAGCCCCCCACCCCCAAAAAAAGGACAGTGGGAAAGAATGTTTAGATTTCAAAATTTAAAAGCCCCCAACTAGGAAGAACCCAACGATTTGAGCACTTCTCAAGTGAAAGGCAATTTCTGCAGAACATTATTCTTAAGGGAATTATCCAGTAAACAGATAAGGCCATTGGTAAGATACACAGCTTGTTTTTTTTTTTTAAGCTCAGTGGTTACAAGGAGAAGTTTCCACTACTGAAGCACAAGTTGCAAACCGATAACACAGTGCAGTAGGAGAGGGGTCTAGTCACGTGTGTTATGTGAGCACTGGACCTTTGAAGGGTGTCATAACCCAGTTATCTGCCACAAAGAATTTCAATTTCAGGCTTCGAGTTTCCTCAGAAGACGACACTATGGACATCTGCGATTGTGAGTGGCAACAGCCCAGACTGGTCAAGTGTCTGTAAGCCCTGAACAACAGGCAGAATTACTGAGTTACCAACTCAAATACCAAATGATAGGTGTCTCACTCCAAGTCCCAGCGTCACAATATAATCTCTATAACTTTCTGTACAACTTTACAATGGAATTGTATTTCAGTGACTGTTTGATAGCAGATTAAGCATCCCAAAAAGTTACACATAATTCAGGTCTGTTTTTTCTACCAGTAAGAGTTCTGCTAAGTTACAAAACCCCATAATCACAGTGTTCAGTTTAAAAAAAAAAAAAAAATTAAACACACGGTAATCCTGTCAATGTTAATCAAAATCAAAACTTCAGAATGCCGTGGCATTTATGTGACCAATCTGAGTTTTAGATACAAATACCAGCTATCTATCCCATGGACCATTTTTCTAGGCTGAGGCTGTGAAAAATCGAGAATCGACATATGATTCTTTTTTTTTTTTTTTTTTTTTTTATCGCACAAAGGGATATATGTGGAAGGTACAGAGTGACACCGAACAGCTCACGAAGCACGGTAGATATTAGTTCTCTCCCTCCCCGGCGTCTGCTTCATCTCCCTGGTTTTCCGACGTCCACAGCTGCAAGAGAAAAGTAAAGCTACAATATCATCAAAGTAGGGCTACTGAAATTTGCTGAGAGAGGTGGCCAGGTCGGTATAGTCTTAACTCACACAACTGTTTAAAATTTTTCCTGTATCACTGGTCAAAACATTAGCTGTCATATTTATAAGCTATTTAAACAATTTAAAGTTTTAATTACACTTAAACCCACTGCCATCAAGTTGATTCTGACTCATAAATACACTTAACAGGCTACAAATCCCCTCTAGAACCTGGGATAACAGCAAGTTATTAAATAGGTGAACAGGAAAGAGAATACAAACCATCCAGAAGTAGTCCCTGAGATTAGCAATACTTACAGTGAGATTGTCCCTAAGTAGCTGCATGATCAGGGTGCTGTCTTTGTAAGACTCTTCGTTCAGTGTATCCAATTCAGCAATTGCTTCATCAAATGCCTAAAACAAAGAACCTTTAGTAAAGAATTCACAGGTTCTCTGGAGCAAGATAAGTCCAATTTTTTCCTACTAACAAGTAAATGTAATTTCTCTTTCTATACAATACTTAGGGAAACACAGGCTATCATTAAATTACTTGCTAATTATTTCAGCAAACATTATCATGTATGTTTACAAAGCACCCACCAACAATGACAAAATTCCTAAATAAGAACTTCGCTATATCCAACAACTCAGCAGGTACTACTGTTAACCCAGAACGTACATTCTAGGCAAATTCACATGATTTTTTTAATTACAAAGACATTTCTCGTAAGTAATCACTTTTTAAAAAAAACTAATAATCAAAAGCTCTGGATATAAAGGATCAAGGGAGAAAGAGAAGCTCGTATCACTAAATCTGATTTGATTAAGTGATGGAACTTTGAAAATTCATTTAAGACACCATTTCCATTTAAAAAACATTAAAGTAACAATTGCCTCCTTTGCTATGAGACCAGAGCTGGATGGTGCCTAGCAACCATTACTGAACATTTTAATCAAAGATTCTATCGAAGAATCCTGATCAAAAGGAGGAAAATGCAGAAGAGAATTTCAAATTCTCATGGAATCCAGACTTTCTGGAGCCATGGAGGCTAGATGAATCCCCAGAACTACTGCCCTGAGATAATCTTTAAACCTTAAACCAAAAATATCCCCTGAAGTCGTCTTAAAACCAAACAACCGTTTAGCTTAACTAGTAAAGAATCTGCCTTGAGCATTGAGCTCTTTTAACATCTATCTATCCGGGATCAAACTGATGACAGCAACTTGAAAGATCAGATAGGAAACTTAGGGGCAAAAAGTTTATGTTAATGCAGGAGGAACATATCAGAAAAGGAGGATGAGCCTGGTTGTACACTGAAAAAATGTAATCAATGTCACTGAATTGTACGGGTACATGTAGAAAGAAACTGTTCAATTGGTGTTATGTTCTGCTTGTATACTCTCAACAAAAACAAAATAAAATATAAAAAAAATTAAAAGTGTACATGCTGAAAAACTATAAAAATATGTTAAAAAGGCAGCTGGGTTACCAAAAAAAGAATATAGGAGGTAATCCAGCACACAAAGAAAAAAGCGATCTGATGTCTTTCATTTATCCAACCATAACCTCAAATCTTGATATAAGGATGACAGTATATAACCAAGGCCCACAGCCCAAGCTTGACAAGAAAAAGCACACTACTCTACCTTTGCCCTGAATTTTCTACAGTCTCTCCCCTAAATAAAAAAGTAATAGGTCTGTATTTATTGCCTAAGAGATACACTGCCAAGCCAATAAAAATCTTTTAAAAAGTCCAAGACAATGAGTTATGTTCAGATTATAAAAAGAAGTCATTAGAAAGCACAAGCATGGTTTTACTCAGAGCAGAAACCACAGAGAAGGTCTTTCTCACCGTTTTTGCCAGGCTGCAGGCCTTTTCAGGAGAATTTAGAATCTCATAGTAAAAGACTGAGAAATTTAGTGCCAGGCCAAGTCGAATTGGGTGTGTAGGCTGCATTTCTTTCTTGCTAATTTCAAATGCTTCCTGGTAAGCCTGCTGGGAGTTCGACACAGTGGCTACAGGAAAGATGAACAACGTTAGGGCTATAAGCTGCATCGCACACTGGCTCTACTATCGAATGGTTTTACCACACTGGGATGGAGCAAATGACCTATCAAATGGGGTGTCAGTGTCTCCACCATTCAATTAAAACACATTTGTTAAATGCTTTTTTCCAACCCAAGTATGCTTTGGAGGAAAACAAAGACAGTAAGTCTACTAAAGCAGTTAAGAAATACAGAAATAAACTTTAACAACATAAAAACCAAAAACCAAACCCACTGCTGTCGAGTCGATTCCGACTCCTAGCGACCCTACAGGACAGAGAGTAGAACTGCCCCATAGGGTTTCCAAGGCTGCAAATCTTTTTGGAAGCAGACTGTCACATTTTTCTCCCATGGAGTGGCTGGTGGGTTCTAACTGCCAATCTTCTGGTTGACAGCTGAGCGCTTTAACCACTGCACCACCAGGGCTCCTTTTAACAAGATAGAATGTGAAAATCATTATGTTCTAGTGGAAAGATCATGGGCTTTAGAGACACAAGGCTCAAACCTAAACTTAAATTCCCAACTCTTAATCACTAGGTGTGTGGCCTGGAGCAAGTCTTCCATAAGCCTTGGTTTCCTTATCAGAAAATGAGCAGCCTCCTAGGGCTGTGTGAGGACAAATGAGACGCAAATGAGGCTCTAAAGTACTTGGCACATATTAGGCACTTAATAAAGTGTAGCTATAATTATCACTATCACAATAATGTGTGATAAAAGTACATCATTATGGTAGTAGTTTTATACCATCAAACATTTAAAGTTTCACCTTTAAAAAGAGAACTACCAAATAATCCTTAAGCTAAAGTTCTCCTCAATGAGTTTATGTCAATGGGGAAGGACAAGTCAGAAAAGGAGGGTGAGAATGCTCACACAACTTGAAGAATGTAATCAATGTCAATGAATTGTACATGTAGAAATTGGTGAATACCATGGTGTATATTTTCAACAATAACAACAACAAAAATAAAGATCTTCTTAAATGCACGACTACACTAGACTTTTAATAACTTCCATACTTTGCCCCTCAGAAACATTCTGACTTGTCAAACCCCCAACCCCGTTCATCACAGGTCAGCACAATGCTGTGGTCTTTTCAATTCTGAGTGCTGTGCTGCTAGTGTCTACGGTGAATAGACAAAGCAAAAACTGTTACAGTCATTATGACGGAAAACTGGTCAAATTTTGGTCAAATTTCCTTAAAAAATACTACTTACTTTGTTTATTGTCTCCAGAGGCCACCTCAGACAGATATCTAAAATAATCTCCTTTCATTTTCAAGTAGAACACCTTACTTTCTGGTTGTGTAGCATTAGGAATAAGATACTTGTCCAACAGCTCCTAAAAAGTGATTAACATTCTGTTAAGAATTTGGAAATCTTATTATTTAAATTGTTATGCTAAAAAAAAACCTATGAGATTCAAAATACACACTACCACTTCTAAATAATATATATTTTTTTAAATCAAAACCAAACAGGTATTTTTCATCCAAAGCTTTTAAATGCTGTTTAGCCCAGGTCATAATAAACATGCCTGTATCCTTCTGTTAAAAATCACTTTGACCATCTATAAGGGATTGATTAAAAGTAGCCAGACAATGAAATGCCATGTAGGCCTTGAAAATGACAATGCAGAACCACACCGATAACACGGAAAGGCTCTCACAAGAAATCCAAGTGAAAAAGAGCAGATTATAAATGCCACATGAACCCTGTCTTAATATCTAATACTTAACAATAGAAGGACAGACACACAAATATGTTAACAATGGTCTCTGAGTAATAGACTAGAAGTGGTATTTACTTTATACTCTTCTACCTTGTCTTTTTTTTTTTTTTTTTAAATGAACTTTTATTATTTCTGTAACTAGAGGGGGGAAAAAAGATTTCCATCTTGGGTGGAATAAAAGATACTAATAGAACAAAACTGCCAAGCACTACATTTAGATTCAAAAAGACCTGGGTTCAAATCCTCCTCCTGCCACTTATTCTCTGTATGACCCTGGACAAATTACCTAGTCACCCCGAGCCTCAGTTTCCTCAACTATATAGTGGGGATCTTAACAGCCATCTTCTAGAAGAATTATGAGGATAAATGAGCTAACATACATATAGTGCTCAAAAGGTGCCTAGCATGTAGTAAGCACTCAGAGAGTAGCTAATACTATTATTAATAATAAATTCCTTTAAACATTTATGCTTACAACACAAGTAGTTCTGAAGGAGTCCACGCTTCATATACAGAGCAATATTTTCGAAGAGTTGTTTTAGAATGTGGCATCCTGAAAAACTGGTTAAGAGGCAGTAAGTACCATGCTCCTCTTCACATTCTTTCAGATGCTCTTAAAAGCTGGTCTAGATTTCAGGAATTATGGAACTTTCTTGCCCTTGGAATGCATGCCATACTTCATCTGAATACCAGATGTACCTAACATTCAGGAATTAGTGCACCATTAACAAACCCCCAAATAACCAGCAGGAAACAAGTTTAGCCATGACACTCTTATACCATCAGTCTAATAAAAAGAAGCTCAATGCAAAAGCTTAGTTATATGGGGATTTAATCAATTACAGTGAGAAGATGCAAGGAGCAGTAGTCATTTTAATATTCTTTGCAGACAGACAGGGGTAACTCCTTATGGGTTAGGGATGAGGAATACTGTCTGGGTTGCTGACAAGTTTTATACTGGTTTTCAAAAGAAAAGTATCATGGGCAGTAATTCAGAGAGGCAGCCAGCAGGGGAGGAGGTGGATCCACAAGTGTGAATTCCTCTTCCCTTCAAAGCAGGCCTTACCGTTCATTTTTACCTGATTTCACCTGGAAGAAAAAAAAAGTTCCCAGTGGGCTCAGGGTGTGAGGGAAAGACAATATGATCATGATTTGCTGTATGACTGCACCCCTCCCACCCAACCCCAGACTGTGGCCAGGGGAAAGCAGTTAGGAATCAATCTTCTGACAAAGGCATATATAAAACACAGAAGAGCAGAATCCTCAATCGTTTATCTGGAATTGGGATACATGCCCAAACTAATGGATGTGCCTAATTTTCAGACAAAAACAGGACTTCATACTGTGAATTATAGTGAAGGTATGACTGGGGAGAGGCTGGAAGGCAGCTCAGCTTCTCGATCCTGCCTCTCCTTACTGGAGATGATGTCACTACTTAGACCAGTATTTAGAATAAATAGCCTGTCCGTGGCTGCGTCTCTCTAAAATCTTGCCCGTCTGGCCTCAATTTCTGAAGAAAAGATGGAGGGATGATGACTAAATGTTCCTGTTTCTCACAGATCTCTTTAATGGGAGAGAATACTCCGTAAGTGATGAGTAAGCTCTGATGAAGCAGGTGAGAAAATCACATCCTATGCTTAAAAATTAGTTGCAAATAGTATGTAGCTTTCCAGTATATTTAGACACCTCCACCTCTCTCTCTCATAAGCTGTTTCAGAGTTTGCATTTGTACATGAAATTAATACTATTTAGAAAGCACTGTTTAAGATGGAAACACTGGCCTCTTACCAGAACATCATTGCAGATGTCCTGCAGTTCCGCCTCTATCCTCTCACGGTATTGTCTGCCCATCTGCTGCTTCTTCTCATTCCTCTCCGTCTTCTGTTCAATGCTGGAGATGACACGCCAGGAAGAGCGGCGGGCACCTACCACGTTCTTGTAGGCAACAGAGAGCAGATTTCTCTCTTCATTGGAGAGTTCATGCCCCTGTTCCGTGACTGCCTTCATGGCTGCAGCCATATCATCATAGCGCTCAGCCTGTTCGGCAAGTTTGGCTTTCTGTACCAGCTCACTCTTATCCATGGTCATTCCCTAGAATGAGAGCAAGAGAGGGAAAAAAAAAAGAAAGCAAATGTCACGCAGGGCCCAAGAAATGCATGAGGGAATTTTTTTCTAACCATCTGGAAAGATGCATATCTACTTCTACTTCCAAATGCCATCAACAATACTCACCATGTATTGGGCACCTACAGGGTTAGGTATGTTGCTAAGTAAGGCTTTTATATTATTTTGGTCAATTAATTTTCCCAATAGTCCTCCAGGGTAAGTATGTTCACAACCACCTCTTCTCCTTTTCTAGAGGTGAAGAAATAGAGGTTCAGAGAAGGTAAGAGATGTGCCTAGGTCAACCCTGCTAGTAGATGGTGGTGTAGTTAGTTGAGTTGAGGTGGCTCCGACTCATGATGACCCCGCATACAACAGAACTAAATGTTGCCCGGTCCTGCACCATCTTCATGACTGATCACCGGTATGCTCAAGTCCACTGCTGTGGTCACTGTATTTTGAGTGCCTTCCAATCTAGGGGGCTCATCGTGCAGCTCTGCATAGGACAATATTCTGTCATGATCCACAGTTTTCATTGGCTAATTCTGAAAAGTACATCACCAGGCCTTTCTTCCTTAGTCTGGAAGCTCCACTGGTATCTGTCCACCATGAGTGACCCTCCTGGTATTTAAAATTTCAGTGGCATACCTTCCAGCATCATAGCAACACGCAAACCACCACAGTACAACAAAACTGTCAGACGGGTTGTGGTAGTAGATGGTAGAGAGCCAGAATTCAAACTTAAGTCTGTCTAGCTCTAAAGCTTTTGTTTTCTCCACTATCCTAATCTGTCTCCCCAACACACAGGGATAGCTTAATAACTATTTCATTGGAAGCTTATGCTAAATGTACATCCTTTACTGCTTTCAAAATTTGTCTTATTTTGACCAAATCTGTTTTCCTCCATCAAATAGGAAAAAAAAATACTAAATATGATTATGGCTTCAATCGATCTTAAACAAAAGATATGATTTTAAATGGTATATTTGACAGTGCCCATCAAGCAATAGGCACCTGAAAAATGGGAGCCATTACTATTATATCTTATGAAATTTGCTAACTTTGTTACAAAGACACACTGCAGGAGAAGAACATAAACTAAGGGCAGCCAGACTTGAGCTCCGTCTAGGACAAGTTCTGCTACTTACTAACTGTACGATACTTAACCTCTGAGAGCTTCAGTTTGCTTCCCAGAAAATGAGAACACTACCAACTCTCTTATGGTGCTGCTGTGAGGAACAAATGACCTGACAGAAGTGAAGACACTCTGAAAAGTTCAAAGTATTATATACAAATACCAGGCAATAATTTTGCACATGGGTAAAGGCTGCAAAAGATATGTGTATACTCCACAAGATGCACAGTAACAGAACTTCAAACCATAACTGAGTTCCATTTAAAAGTTCTGAAATAAATCTTTGTGACTTCAGTTTATCATTTTATAAAATCTCTTCCACACCAATGAAATCCCTCACTTCGCCTTAGTCAATTCTCCATTACAATAGTCACCATTTATAGAGTGCAGTAATTTTTTTATAATACATAGCTAAAAAATTATTTATTAACCAATAATCAGAGGCAGTTTATATGTACTGTCTGTTTAAAATTTCAATACATCCATCTGTGCCACACAGTGTAAAAATATGCTAATATCTTAAGACATAAAAAGATGAAATACAACTTTAAACAGTAGTAGGAATGTCGGTATTTTTAAGCATATTTTTTCACTACTAGCTACGTAAGACTAAAAATGATTAATAATTTAAAAATAGCAAAGAAAGTAAAACCCCTACTCACAAAATGGTTTTTTCTCAAAAGTCATTTCTGTATGTTCAAGGGAGAAATTTTACAGACAGGGCTCTACCACATAAAAATGTTTTTATTAAATGGACCATAATGATAAGATTCACCCAAAATTTGGGAATTTAGCAAGAGTGAGTCCTCCAGTTCAGAACTACAATTTTTCTTCCCAACATGTATTAGCTAAATCATATTCAGAGCTGTGTCCTATATAAGCCTCACCAATTCTAAGTTTACACTCAGCGAAGCAAGTCTCACCATGATCCATCTGACGCCTTCACTCACTTCACTAGACTGAAACTACAACAGAGACAGTGATCCTCATGAAACATTCCAATTGCTCCCCTACATTTCCCAGCAATCCCCCTGCAGTTAGGAGGGACCATGTAGTAGTTCCATCCAATAAAACATAAACAGAAGTGATGCTACCTCCAGGCTAAAACTGAAAAGCCTATGTGCAATTCTCCAGTCTGTCTCTTTCTACAGCCACCACCTAAAAGGCCACGTGTTCTAGGTGGCACAGTCACGAAACGGTGGAGTTCCTGAGTACATCATGCAGAGATTCTTGCAGACCTGCACTGGACAGGCAATGTGAAAAAGAAATAAATTTTTGCTGGGGGAAGCCACAGAGATGCTGGGGTTGTATGCTACCATAGCACAAACTAGTCTACTTTAATACAAGTATATAAAAAATGCATTATTTATCATCTTGACATTATATACTCTCTCAGTTATGTCTAACTTTTTTGACCATAAAGACTTTGAGATCAGAACAATATCTCCATCATTAAATAACCCTACTTCATTGTTCCTGAAAGTGCCAGGCAACAGCAGAGAGAAGTCAACTTTCAAGAACTCAATAAACTTTAGAAAATTTCCAGTCTATAGACTTTTTCAATGTTAGCACTCATTTAGTGGCCCTCTTCAAAGTTCACCTGTGCAACTCTACCTATGAAAGGTTCCAATTAATAAAGTGCTGGCCAAAAATCAATTCAGAGCTAAGCCATCCCATGCAGTATTCTAGTAAAGGATCAACAAAGTTGATCACCAAAGGATCAACACAGCTAAAAGATGCAAAGAAACTCTTTGGTCCTACTAGGTCCCAAATTAAAAATCCTTCCCCCACTTCCTCTCTCCTTCCAAAACATTAAAAGTTACATCATACCTCTCCAAAGAATTTTGACAACTCCTTGGAACTGTCCAAATGTACACACCCTATTTCCCAAAATAAAATGTGGCCTTTCTGGTATGGGGCCAACTGTTTCAACTTTTCTGGGATCATTACAAGAACTCTTGGAGATGCATACCTTAAAAAACCTGTATCCATAATTGGTTTATTTCTTTTTAATTACACACAGACACCAAAACAACTCACAATAAACAAAATCCATGCTAAATGCTCGACGCCTACCACTTATGTAACTTTTGACTTATATAACGAGGATTTTGAAGCAGCTAGACCAATTTCAACAGGAAATCGGTTACACAACACCCAGCAGTTTAGAGAAAGGCAGCAAGCAAGGGAGAAATGAAACTGTTCTTATGTCTACATGGACAATACATCTTCCATCCACTACTCTCCTTCTTCTTACTGCTTTCAGTCTCTCATCTCTAGCCCCTTCAGGTCTTTGCTATCAGAACCATCTTCTTAAAGCTCTGATCAAGACACTTCCTCTTCCAAGTTCCCTGCTGCCCACAGAAGTTGTTGTTAGCCATCCTGGACTCATGGCAACCCCATGCACAAGAGAACAAAACGCTGCCAGGTCCTGTGCCATCCTCCTGGTCAGTTATGAATTGGACCATTGTGATCCAAAGGGTTTTCATTACAATGGAGTGTCAGATTTCCTCCCTGTAGTGAAAGCTTCCCAACCAACCTCTCACCCTAGACTTTCCCACAAAATGCCTTCCATACAATGTGCTTCTACCAAAATGCTGTCTTACACTCAAAGTGTGCTCTTCTGTCTTTGCTCCTTGAGCCACTCCCTCTACCGGGAATATCTTTTCTCGTTTACTCTGCATAAAAAATTCTTCAGGCCACAGCTCCAATGCCATCCCCTCCATGAAGCCTTTCTTAAACCACTAAGTCTGCACTATCTGATAGCCACCAGCCAGCCACATGTGGCTATTCACCTGAAATGCGGCTAGTGCCACATGTTGAAATCGTAACACAATGAAACCTCTGAGAACTGGAACTTGATGGGACTGCTTTGTCTTTCTGGGTGTCTCAAGTTTTCCACCTTTGACAGGATGCACTCTTACCACTTTTCTATTGTTCCTTTTAGTGAAAAATGTTTTTTGAGGTTTCCCCTTCTCTGACAGTTTTCCATCTTACACAGGTTCTGGCTTTCACAGGTTTTGCTGTACTTTGGATATAGTGTGTTAAGTAAAACATATTACTAAAATTAACTTCACTTGTTTCTTTTTACTTTTTTAACATGGCTACTAGAAAATTTTAAATTATATGTGGCTCACGTTCTATTTCTATTGGACAGTACTATTCTAAGCTAAATTTAATCTCAATGCATTTCACCTATACCTCTCAATGTGTTATCTCATTTCTTCAGTACTACAAGTATTTGTATGTATCTTAAGTCCCTTGTTGATGCTGTTAGGTGCCATCAAGTTGGCTTCAACTCAGCGTAACCTTATTTTCTAATTTCCTGAGTTGATATGTTAGTTTACTTTACTGTATCCTCTCTTACACTATTGTTGTTGTTAGTTGCCATCGAGTTGGCTCTTCATTCAGGATCATCAGTACATTTGAGTCCATTGTTTTGGCTATTGTGTAGATCCATCTCATTGAGTCTCCCTCGTTTTCAGTGACACTTACTACACCATAAGCTCCTTTAAAGCGTATCTCCCACAGTACCTTGCATTTAATTGGTAGGAACAAATATCTGCTGAATGAATAAATGGCGAAATGAAAGAATAATATGACTGAACACTGGTACAGTTCTCTCTTTACTCAAATAATTCAAAGCACCTATTCTCTAAAAGTACATTAAATTCTCATTACATTTATACCTCATTCCTTGCACACTACTTTAAAATTACTGTTCCTAAACTACTCCTTTACTCATGCCTTCACCGTTATTCAATAATTTTTAATGACTCCCCTTTTGGCTACTCCATCAAATCTAAACTCTATCTGGCTTTCAAAGTCCTTCATAACGTTAGGCTTTCTCACCCACCGTTTTCCAACATGTAACGTTCTCTCAGGCTGGCCATTACCACATGCTCTATGAACACCACGCTCAAACATACCTGAGTCTACCTCATCTAGAATGCTCTATCTACCTCCTGCCAATCTATGCAAGCCCTCCCCATCCTTCTAGGGCTAGAAAGCCTTCCCTGACTACTCCAGTCCCTAGTAATCTACCCTGCGTATGAATTCAAACACACTTGTAGCCTATTACACAGTCTAGGGCTTCTTTATGCTGTTCTATGTTACAGTGAGGACTGTACCACTGACCACTGTTTCTCAAGTGTATGACCACAAAGGAAAGTGTCACATTTGTTTCTCACTTAACACCTAAAACTGTGCCCAAGCACAAAACTAATGCTCAAATAAGTATCTGATAATTTTTTCAACAAATCATTCCTTGGAGAGCAGAAAGAACACAGGCTACTTTCA